GCGTTTGGGATAAAAAACTAATAAGTACTTTACAGTGCTTACACAGTAACAAAATATTAGATGCTGGATTAACACGTATAAGGTATCGGATGTTTGTAAATAAAATACACGGATATGGTTCATTTAAGACTAAAACGCCCTACACGCACAACGATTTTTCGTACTGCATGCAGTACAAAATTAGTCCAAACTGCTGCAGTAACGATAAATCGTGACGTACGTAGGCAAATTGGATACTTCGCAGTACGCAGTATTTGAATTGTTTGCAGCATAGAGCTTCCATAAAATATCGTATCGTGTGATGTAAAAAAAACATGTTCTCATTTTCGAAATTAAAAATTAAAAAATTACATCCTAGTAGTGCTTCAGTTCGAAAAAAACGCATTGATAATTTCATCGGTACCCAAGAAACATAATGGTTCTTAGCTGGCGCCAGGAATAAGTTTTTAAATAGTCTGATACAAAGTCTAAAGGTGAAGCGCGATCCTAAATACTCGTAGGTACTTTTTAAGATCGCCCGCTGACCGTTGACCACTGCTAAGAATATAGGGGATTAAGAGGTTCATGAAATATTGAATTAAATTTTCCCTAATTTTTGAACGAACCATACAACTCTTGATATTTTTACTCAGCGGCTTGGTACTGTGGGAGAATTTATACATTTATTATATACTAAGTGACATATAAATCCGAACACCCAGTTTAAATGGTTTTATTTTAATAAAATTTTGTATAAGTACTTAATGAAGCATAATAAGTAAATGATAAAAATTTCAAAGTGATTGCACTGCTTTAAAGCCCTTTGACCTTTAATAATAAGTGGATGCACCCTGATGTCCAACGCGCCTAGGCATGCTTCTGATCAGGTGGTCAATGTCCTCCTGTGGTATCTCATTCCAGGCAACCACCAACTCCTCTCGAAGTGCTTCTAGAGTCTGAGGAGGACGTTGCAAATTGAGCAATCTCCTACCCATCATATCCCACACGTGCTCAATTGGGGATAAGTCGGCAGATCTTGGTGGCCATGGTAACAATGTGACATCATTATGTTGAAAGAAGTCTATTGTGACTCTTGCAACATGTGGTCGGGCATTATCTTGTTGGAAAGTTGGATCTGCCAGGGTGTCAAGATTCGCCACGTTCGATCATTCGTAGATGTGAATTGTGTATTGAACAATTGGGTTTACATTTCGAGCAACTACTTCAGATTTTGTATGTTTGTCCTAACTATCCAATAGCATTTTAGTTGTAAATAATTAATTTAATTTGTTAAAAATAATATTAGAAAATTAAACAAACTAATATTCTGTTTTTTGTGTTTATTTGGAGTTAAGAATTATTGCTGTATTTAAAAACACAATCTAAACGATCATCTTAATTACTTGTAATGCCCAAATCGAAAATGTAAAAAAAAATATTATGTTCCCACAAATAATTAAAAATGCATCGAACCTTAAAAATCGAAATATCTCAAAAACGGCTAACTATAACGAAAACTCACAGGTGAGCTTTTTTATGTTGAGAAGTGCGAAAAATTAATTTTTTTATTCAAAAAGCAAAAAATTGCACTAAGACAAAATTTTCGGTCATTTTAACACACTACGGGTACAGTAGAGAGCCCCCTGTAGCGGCTACAGTAAAACTATGCCCGTGGTTCGTTTTGTCGTACCAAAAAACCCTTGTATACCAATTTTCACTGTTATACATCAAATATTGTCCGAAATATTTAAAAAAAACTATTTTAGAAAGTAAATTTAAACACCCTGTATTTCGGAAGCCACGCATTTTTCGACCCATGTTTATATAGACTTTATGCATTAATTTTAAAAGTTCTATCGAATCTTAAAGTTATGCAACAATAAACTGAAACACCCTGTATACTGCCGTTTCCTTCCAGTTATAGTCTATAGTATACAACTTACAGCTTAGACCTCCAGTATTGTCATCTCTAAACCACCTTAGAGCCAAACATTGATAGTTGAAGCATTATGACGTTTAGGCAACACGTACAACTACAAAACGAGTTCACAACAAGTGTCCATCAGCTAGTGCTAAGTTAACATCTTGTAAAAAACCTACGTTATGTCAAAAAAAACAATATAATGTCAAAAAACCTACATAATGTCATAAACATACATATTACCGGGTCCATTCTGAGTGACCACTCGGAAGAACATACAAGAGGCTCAGTACCTTTTGGGGTACCCTCGGTAAACGTGATCTTGTCTGATTATTTTTTCCAACACCTTGTTAAGTCTCGGAAGTAAAATACAACAACCATAAATCGAGCTCAAAGTCTCTCTGACCTCTTAGTAACGTATTTATTTTTACAACTCGCTATTCTATTAAACAACTCGTTCCGATTCATTAATTGCAACTAAAACAACCGACCATCTAAATATAACATTTACAGTGCCATTGCACTCATTGTTTCCAAAAAAATCAACTGAAACAGTCATTTAGAAGCTGACTCATTTTCGCCTCATTTGCTGCGCTTATAGCATTTTTATAGGCCTACGGGGTGGTCCGGAATAGGGAAAATCCTGAGAGAACCGGGAACGCAAAACCTGGTCTCAGCTAATGCGGATCCGAAAAGTAAACAAAATACCGTTTTACTTCCCTTGCCACTAGGGAGAAAGTATTGTAATCGCAAAAGTTTTCGAAAATGAGATGTTTGTTAGATGTCACATAACGTTCCCGTGGCCTGCCTCTCTGTCTCTATAACTTGGAAAGTACCGCTCGGATGTTGATGAAATTTTGACACAAGCTTACTATTATGCCATGGATGAAAAAACTTTGTAGTTTTTGGAAACTGATTTGCCGGAAAAAATAAAAATCTCCCGAACCTTGGTTTTTGATGTTTTAAATGGGTGGGGACTCAGGACTAGTTATATGCACCTGTTTGGCTCACTTGTTGCACTCAATTTTCTGCCTTGTTATATATATTCGTAGCCTAACTTTTTATGCCGAACGTAATCATTTATCAACTGATGCTAGCGTTGCGTGGGGAGTGCGAAGTCAACCTACTTGACGACATTTTTCATGCATAATAAACTAAATCGGTCAAAGTTTTGCTTTGGAATTAGATTTTATACTTCGACAATTTATTTTAAGTTGATATTAACATCGAAACTGAATTTAATAATAATAATAAATCGTCTTTATTTATAAAGTTAGATAGTATCGGGCTAAGTTTAGCTAAATAGCTACTCTTCCACTTAAACCTATTATTTTCATGGTTGTGAACCAATGTAAATACATGTAATTAACATGTATATATACAGTGGCTAACAAAAGGAAAACGTCTAATAAAATTTTTCTGGCGGTTACTAATCTAAACTACAAACTACTACTTAACTACTATTACATTTTTGGTAGCAATTTAGTTTGAGGTATTTTTTTTAATGCGTCAGGTAGCACGTTATACAGTTTGACACAATTATACCTAAAAGAGCGAGTAAATAAAGCCGTACGGTGCCGTGGAATATCAAATAATTTGCCATACCTGAGCATGCGATCTCTAACAGATTGCCTGAAAACAATTTTTTTGAAGAGGTATGCGGGAGTTCCCGTGATAATCAAATTATGAATGAACATCAAGATAAAATACTCGTAAGAGCTATTAATATCTAACCATTTTAAACTACGAATACAGTGTGAAACATGGTCATATTTTCTTAAACCCTAAGGAATTTTGAATCAGTTGAAGTCTGCGAATTGAGACTTGATCTAAGTAAGGATAGAAAACTATAAGGCGGTAGTTGATTTCTGAGAGAACCAGGCTTTCACAAAGATGTTTTTTCAATTTGAAATTGATGAAATGCCTATTAACAAACAATGTTTTTAGTACAACAAAGCAGTTTCTTACTAATTTAGATATATGCTCACGAAAACGTAAATCCTTGTCAAGTAAAACACCCAAATTTTTTGCAAGATCCTCATAAACTAAAGAAGTGTCATTAATGCGTACTGTCGTGTTATTTCTGATATTAATGATTTTGTTTTTTGGTGCAAAGAGAACAGCTTTAGATTTAGAGGCATTTATCGTTAAGGAGCTATGCTTGGAAAAACTAACAATAGTGGCTAAGTCACAATTCAACTCGTCAACAGCTGCTACACAGTCATCTGGATCAAAAGTTTTACATATTTGTGTATCATCCGCAAAAATCATCACTTCAGAGGAGCGTATCAGTTTACACATGTCTGATATGTAAATGGAGAACAATAGCGGTCGTAAAACAGAGCCTTGGGGACCCTGATATCACATTCTTATATGTCGAATATGAGTTGTCCAAATGTACCCTTTGCATACGATTCATGAGATAACTAGTAATGAACTTGATAGATGCTTGAGAAAATCCAATATATTTGCATTTTGAGATCAAAAGTGAATGATTGATAGTGTCAAAAGCCTTGGAGAAGTCAAGCAGTACAAGAGCCGCTGCTTGACCTCGATCCAAAGCCTCAACAATATCATCAGTCACCTTAAGCAGGGCAGTGGTGGTGCTATTCCCTACTTTGAAGCCAGACTGTTTTTTTGGAATTATGTTATTCTCAGAGCAGTACTCTTTCAGTTGATCATGTACTATCCTTTCCAATATTTTTGATAGAATCGGAAGTAAACTTATTGGGCGCAGGTCAGAATAAGCTGAAGGGTTATTAGTTTTTGCCAAGGGAACAATTACTGCTTGCTTCCATGCAGAGGGAAAATAGTGAAGTTCCAAACAAGAATTAATCAAATGCGTTAAATATTTGCCAATCACAGGAAAACACAGTTTTATCATATTAGGCGTAATACCATCATGCCCACAGGCATTAGATTTTATTTTAAATAAATGCGAACGTATATCTTCCTCAGTAGTCATGACCAGATCAAATTTGAGCGATTCATCAAGTATGTTATTATCATAAAATTCTATTTCACTAGCACAGAGCTGAATATTATCTTCAAAAACAGATAAAAAATAATCATTTATCTGCGTTGCGTTACGTAAACTAACAGGTATGTGGTTACGCTTCTTAGTCTGCATGTTCAAATTCCTTATACCCTTATATAAAGAAGATGAATTATTAGTTTCTTGTAAGTGCTGAAGATAACCAGCCTTTTCTCTATGCTGTGCTGCAGGAGCATAATTTCTCAGTTCAGTGTATTCTGTCCAGTTCTGATTTGTCCTATTGTGTTTGTATTTTATTAAAGCTGCATCCCTCTGCTTGAAAATAGCTCTTAAGTTTTGCGTTAACCATGGAGCAAAGGGCTTGCTTACCCTCGCTGTACGCAACGGTGCATGTATATCGAACAAGGAAATTATAAGATCATTTAGAAATTCCACTTTGTCATCAATGTCTCGAATACAAATAATATCATTCCAGTTTATACTCAGTAAGTCGGCCATAAAGTTGTCATGATCAAAAATTTTGAAATCACGGTAAGTGACAATTTTTTGAGGGGTCTGATGTTTATCAAAAGATGCTTCACAGTAAACCAACCTATGATCGGTGAAAACATCTACATTTAGTGTACCAATATTATGACACTGTTCAGGAAAATTTAGAAAAATAGGATCTAGTAATGTAATAGAAGAAGAACAAATTCTTGTAGGCTCGTCAATCAATTGTTTAAAAGAATATGAGTCGAAGCAAAGAGATATTTTGTTACTTAGATTTAGCAAATTGACATTTACATCACCCAATATGATAATATGGTCGTAAACAGTAGACAAATGCGATAAAAGTGTATCCAGAGTTTCAACTGCAGAATTGAGATTAGCCTTAGGAGGTCTGTACAACAATCCTAAGGCAACTGAGGACGACTTGAATTGAAGTTTCAACCAAAATTGTTCAATTACTGATGAATCATCTCCAATATAATCAGTTATAGAAATATGTTCACACTTTATATCATCATTTATATACACACCTATTCCGCCACCCCTACTGTCTCTATCCTTCCTACTAAATGTATAACCATCTATAGACAAAGTATCTGAAGGAACCATCTCAGTGAGCCATGTTTCAGTGAGGGAAAATACATCAAATTGTTTTTCTTTGATGAGGACCGACAAGTCAGTGAATGAAGGTACAAGGGAACGAATATTGACATGTCCAAATTTCACCGAGCTTACCTTAACCCTAATCGATCCTACTTTTTAATTTAGAGATGTACCTTAAGTATATAGGGCAAGTTATATCCCTTGCTGCATGGTCCACTACAATATTTTCCTTCTTCCAATGATTATAATTAATACAGCTACATGATTTATTTGTAGATTTACATTCTTTTAAGCAATGATTTCCGGAACAAGAAGGGCACCTAGCAGATGCAGATCTGCACTGCTTATCAGTATGACCAAACACTGAGCACTTATAGCATTGCACAATTTGAAGGTGATCGGTAACTGCACATCTCTTCCAACCGATATAGACGTATTCTTGCACCATTACTTTTTTCCGGACCTCCGGAGAAACCTCTAAGATGAGGTCACAGCCATTATGCATTTTTAATTTGGTGATCACTTTTATATCCGAAGAATTGAGGATATCCAAGTTGTTTTGACAAAATATTCTACCTATTATTTGATCGTCACTGTTTAGATCCTCTGTTATTTCAGCATTCTTCACACGAATGCGTGGTTTATGTTTTTTTGCCTCATCGACAACGTATTCGTCTCCTAACTGGGTTTGTAGAACGTTTTTGAATTTGTCCAAATTTGATTTTTTGTTGCAAATGACGGCAACTCCATTCTTTATCTTCCTTGTACTATTTATAGACTTCCAAATTGGCAGGGTTTACTACTTGATCCATTCTTTTGAAAATATAATGGAAGAGCTGGACTTGGCTGACATGTGGTTTCAATAAGACGGTGCCACACCGCACACGAAACAATGGCCCTATTGAGAGGCGAGTTCGGTGAACAGTTTATCTCACGTTTGGGACCCGTCAATTGGCCGCCTAGATCGTGTGATTTACGCCGTTGGACTATTTCTTGTGGGACCATGTTAAGGCTAATGTCTACAGGGATAAACCATCAACGATTGACGCACTGGAAGCCAATATTTACATGAAATAATCTTTGTACATTAAATTATATCGACCGTTCTATCGACTCAAATAAAGATTTAATCGTTTTTTTCAAATTTTTTGTTTTTTTTTTGAAAATCAAATCGTTTACCTCTTAAAAAATCACCCGTTACAACAACCATAAATCGAGCTCAACGTCTCACTCTGACTTCTTAGTAACGTATTTATTTTTACAACTCGCTATTCATTCCAACAACTCGTTCCGATTCATTAACTGCAACTAAATCAACTGACCAGCTAAATATAACATTTACAGTGCCATTGCACTCATTGTTGCCAAAAAAATCAAGTGAAACAGTCATTTAGAAGCTGACTGATTTTAGCCTCATTTGCTGAGCTTATAGCATTTTTATAGGCCTACAGGGTGGTCCGGAATAGGGAAAATCCTGGGAGAACCGGGAACGCAAAACCTGGTCTCAGATAATCCGGATCCGAAAAGTAAACGAAATACCGTATTACTTCCCTCGCCACTAGGGAGAAAGTATTGTAATCGCAAAAGTTTTCGAAAATGAGATGTTTGTTAGATGTCACCACATCACGTTCCCGAAATTTTGACACAAGCTTACTATTATGCCATGGATGAAAAAACTTTGTAGTTTTTGGAAACTGATCTGCCTAAAAAAATAAAAATCACCCGAACCTTGTTTTTTGATGTTTTAGATTAGTGGGGACTCAGGACTAGTTATATACACCTGTTTGGCTCACTTGTTCCACTTTATTTTCTGCCTTGTTATATGTAATCGTAGCCTAACATTTTGTGCCGTACGTAATCATTTATCAACTGATGCTAGCGTTGCGTGGGGAGTGCGAAGTTAACCTACTTGATGACATTTTTCATGTATAATAAACTAAATCGGTGAAAGATTTGCTTTGGAATTAGATTTTATACGTCGACAATTTATTTTAAGTTTATATTAACATCGAAACTGAATTTGACCCTAAAGTTTCGGGACTCCACGTTACTTTAACAGGTACTCCCAAAATTCGGTTCTTCTTTCTCTAGTCTGTATTAAATGTACCAAAATGCAATCCTAGATTAAATTCGACAGACGATCCGCTAAGTCCTCGATCATCCTAAGGTCGTGATCAAGGTCACCCTTTCTGAGCCTTGGAACTTTACAACATTGTTCTCTAGGTCATGTTCAATGTCATCATTAGTCAGTTGGCACTTTTCAGGCCCTACAGCTATGTCTTACAACACTTATTTTTCTCCAATAAGCCAATAGGCAGAACCATACATCGCTCGGGGTAAACATCCTTCTAACGGATGATTTTTTAAGAGGTTTTGATTTTCAAAAAAAAATACAAAAAATTTGAAAAAACGATTGAATCTTTATTTGAGTCGATAGAAAGGTAGATATAATTTAATGTTTAAAGATTATTTCATGTAAATGTTGGCCGCGGCTCCGCTTTAGATGGCCCATGCGCAAGGTCCAATTTTGGCACACTCTCTCCAACATATCGGCCGGTATCTCACGAATAAATGCTTCAATATTGGCTTCCAGTGCGTCAATTGTTGCTGGTTTATCCCTGTAGACATTAGCCATAACATGGCCCCACAAGAAATAGTTCAACGGCGTTAAATCACACGATCTGGGCGGCCAATTGACGGGCCCCAAACGTGAGATAAACCGAACTCGCCTCTCAATAGGGCCATTGTTTCGTGTGCGGTGTGGCATGTGGCACCGTCTTGTTGAAACCACATGTCAGCCAAGTCCAGCTCTTCCATTTTGGGCAAAAAACACTTTGTTATCATCGCACGGCAGCGCTCGCCATTCACAGTTACGTTCCGGCCATTTTCGTCTTTGAAGAAGTACGGCCCGATGATGCCACCGGCCCATAACAACCAAACAGTGTTTTTCGGGATGCATTGGTAGCTCTTGCAATGCTTCTAGCTGGTCTTCACTCCAGATACGGCAATTTTGCTTGTTAACGTACCCATTCAACCAGAAATGAGCTTATCACATAAAAATGAGAATCTTCCTCCAACATTGCCAGCGCCCATTCACCAAATTGAAAACGTTGTAGGAGGTCGTGTGGCTTCAATTCTTGCACCAGCTGTATCTTATAAGGTTTTACACCCAAGTTCTGTCGCAAAATTTTCCACGTAGTGGAGTAACAGAGGCCAAATTGCTGCGAACGGCGGCGAATCGACGTTTCACGGTCATCACTAACACTGGCGGATACAGCCGCAATATTTTCTTCAGTCCTCACTCTACGTCTGCGTGTTGGTGGTTTGATGTCCAATAATGTAAACTGGGTTCGACATTTAGTCACAAGCTTCCGAATAGCTCCCTCAGTAGGCCGACCAAATTGCCCATAAATTGGAAGCAGTGCTCGATGCACTCTCTTAACCGAGCATGAATTTTGATAGTAAAATTCAATAATTTGCAAGCGTTGTTCGTTCGTCAGTCGATTCATGGTTAAATTATAGACCAAACTGAACAAGTTTGACAATGACACATGACACGATTCACGCGTCATCTGTCAAAAACAGTGTTGCCAAAAAGATACTAGCAAAAAAATCACCCATGATTTCTGCTCTTGTTCCTTTAGTACTTGTTTTTGCAAACTGAAATGTCCGCAGTTCAAGTCGTACCTCATGTTAAGCGCCGGAGTCACTTGTCGCATGTTTTCCTCGGTGCTTGTCTGCAACATCTTTCAGACTTTACACATGGACCGATGCATGAATCGGCGCAAGTAAACCTAGGACCGAGTTTTGGTGCATTATTTGCAGACCACCTGGTATGTGCGATTTATGACTGTGCATATTTTATGCGCATCGGGCATCGGACTGCATTGTGTTTCAATGCTCTCTAGCATGCATTTATGTGCTCGTAAGTGCTCCAAATTCAAGTTCAAGGTCACTACTCGTTTGTTTATAGATTGTCATAGTATACGTGCAGCGATCAGCAAGTTCACTCATACAATGTCGAGAACAAAGCTTCAAAAGACGTTCTCTTCTATGTTTCTGAAGGGATATAACAAACGAAAGAAAAGTTAGTTCCAGAGCAGAAACATCGCGGAATGGCTTTATAATCCGTCGGTCGGATCTATTGACCTTGGGAGTCATCTGCATTATATCAAAAGCCGAGTGTAAATTTTTTCGCGTATTGATATGATACGATTAAAACTAGTGAACAGCAAATTTGCGGTTAAGCGTTAAAATACGTAAGATTGGACTATTAGCAGTCCATTTGGTGTCAAGTAGACTGAATCTATGAGCCCACGCTGAAATTTAGCTACACTAAAACTTAGCTAAATCTGGTAGATTTGGAACCAACACCTGTTAGATACTCTGTTTGCATTATAGTTTTCTTGAATACTATATGATATAATTATTTACAGAAAAAGGAAAACGATTTGTCATCTGTCACATTGGCAGTGAAGATGGCTTTGTGCCCACTGCCCTATGGGCATTTGAGTCAAAGAAAACGACCGACTACCATGAAAAAATGGACGGGAGTCATTGTACTTGATAATGCTGAATACCACACTAGAAAACTAGAAAAAATTCCCACAATGTCCACAAGAAAGGCAGAAATTCAACAATGGCTCCTATCAAAAGACATTAGTTCCAATGAAAATATGGTCAAAGCAGAACTTATCCTTCTAGTCAGACAGCACAAATATAAATATAATCTTAATGTTATTGACGAAATGGCTTAAAAACAAAATAAAACCATCTTAAAATTTGTTTTAGGAAGCTGTCAACCGAATGACGGCAAACCATTGGAAAGATTGCATCCGTCGTGTTCAAGAGACAATCGAAAAGATGTGGCATCTGGACAATATGATCGACATTCAAATTGAACCTGTAATAATTAATATTAATCATTGGCAAGATGATTCAAGTACTTCCAGCGAATAAAGGATTGTGAAAAGTATGTGTACTTGTTTCTATAAAAATAATCATTTACTTTGTTAGATTATTCCAAGACCATTGAGGAAAGTACGGACCTCTACAATCTCGCTTTTGGGTATGTTGTGTTTTGTCTGGACGTAAATGGACTACGAATGTGGTATAGTTTTTAACATTTCACGCGATGTAGTCAAAACCTTGCGATCGGCTCTTGGACTATTCTATGCCAACCGTCCTTGACTACCGAGGCGGTGTTGCCAAGATGCCATAAAATATTTATAAAATGCTACATTTATTCTAAGCAGAATGTACCTCTTGTGACGTTTTTTGGTGACTACGTCAAAAAGTCATACGAAGTAAATAAACATATCGACTTAAGGGCTAGATAACTCGAGGTCATGTCAAATAACGCGACGATTCGTCGAATAAGCAATTTGAGGTTAGAAAACCTTTGAATTCCAAGCTGGAATTTATTACTAAACTATGTCGTGTAGTATTCCGAAAAGTTAATAGCTATGTGATAACCTACAGGTTTTGAAAACAGCTTTTCTCGCGAAAAGTGCGAGTTATAATTTTATTGGATGGAAAATATATTTTGTATTTTGCAAATGGATGATCAATATTCTCACCCTGAATAATCGTCCAAAACTCTGTCTCCTGTGTTTGCCAGTGACGCCTGACCACTGGCGTTGGTTCATGATCTACTGGCGTGGCTAAGCAATTTTGCCAGAGGGTTGATAATGTCGCTAGGGCAGGGGAGAAATGTCTAGATCGCAACGTTATCAAATCGCTAGGGACTATGGACTAATTTTATGAGCATATTTGACTAACGTGATCGATCTGATTTTTTATTAAATATGTTTGTAGCTAACTCTTTCAGAGGGGGTAAATGGTGCCGAGCATAATCCTTTATGAACTGATGGCAGCAGGGTCACACATGCCTCAATCATAATCATTGAATCAAAGAACTGAGATTGACAGCTTTGGCACCAGCTGGAATTAATAGTGCCCTGATAAGGATTTTGAAAAAATAACAGGAGCTAAGATGACAAATCCATACATTTTATCGTATTTGACCTCTCGGTATTTAGGCTGAGTATCGTCCACATCAGTCCAGTTCCGTGTTAAGGCTGGGTGGTTGTGAGCCGGCGGTTGGGAAAAATTTTACCTCACACTGTCGCACTAGTGCCACCTTAAAGGTTCCTGTGCCATCGGGGACATCTCGTGTATAAAAAAAGTGAACTTACTGAATCTGAAGGTATGCTGCGACATGATGCAGCTGCTGATAACTTATTCATGCATTCCTAGTATAGGTCAGGAAAATTGTGATTCGGGGAATACGATATGCCATAAGATCACCGATAAATTACGTTTGAGTTGAGTTTTATTTATCCAGTTATTCAACTGTTATATGTTCATTGCAAATTTTATGTGATCCGATTTTAAACTTACATAACTATACATGCACGATGTTTATAACAAGCAAGTACCTACTATTTAAAAATTTAAGCCATTGCTATTGCTGTTAATTTGTACTCAAAGTTCAGGACACAGGAAATCATAAATATTATGTTGTAATAGCTAATTCACAGACACATAGTTAATTTTATCTTGATAGCATCAATTAAATTCTTCCATTTTAATATTTTAGAACATACATACATCACCACTTTTCTTTTTATTTTAGTTGTTTGATTGTTCTTAAAGAACAAAATCCGGCAAATTTAGCACTTTTGCCCAAAGTTTACCCATTTTCGAATATTTAACTTAGTATTTTTGTGTGGAGACATGGTCGGAAACTTTCCACTTCATATCTATAATAAAACTCATGGGGACACAAAACATATAAAAAACGGCGTCAAGTTGTTTGACTCCGCACTTGCTACGCAACACCGTTATCAATTTATAAAGGATTAAGTTTAGCGTAATTTAAATCCTATGAGACAAAAGTCAGTTACGAACACAATTAAGAAATTGAACGGATTACTCAGGCAAACAGGTCCATACAATTAGACCACAGGCATTCTTTCCCTGCCCTACCGGTAGTCTATCTGGCAACGTTGTCCCTTTCCACATGGCAGTGCGCGGCATCGCTGCAGCGAGTTATTGTTCATTTCGCGCATGGTCCGTGTATGTCTTGCGCTGAAGTACGGACAGATCAGTAGCTGGACCAGTTCGCCGGGCGATCAGCTTGGAAAGCAGAATTACGCGGATCGAAAACATTTTTCTATCAAACTTTATACGTAGGAAATCTAGGATGTGTGAAATATGGCTAATAGGTGCATTGAATTACCGGGGTTGAGAGCGTATAAATATACTGAAATCAAACATTTTTCATATACCCTCTCCCAGCCCCTATCCTCCAAGCCCCTATAGCAATTTTTCTCAATTTGATCAGGATCCTCTGAAACGTCAAAGAAATTTTGAGCGATTTTTATTTTTATTTTTTTCGTTTTCGGTTTTCTATCTCCACCGCCACTGGACCGATTTACAAAAATACAGATTTTTCGCACTTGGCATAAAAGCCACTTTGTGTGAAAATTTCATCAGGATAATTGCATATAAGTGATTTGTATTAATTTTTGTCCTTATTGTGTGCGCAGCGGAGGATATAAATGATGTGTGTTAGTGTAGTTATAACAAATACAAATTAAGCATACGAACATGTGCTTATTTGGACAGACAAGACAAAACTCACGATTTTGGACCTTTTAAGGGACAATCTAGTACTAAACTAAAGACCAAAATATTGATGAAGTTTTACACAACTGCGACTTAGTTTCCTTTAATTATTTCGATGATTGACCGAGATATCTTGTCCGATACGAAGAAGACACGGCTTTGTCCTTTGCATCTTGAATCCACCACGCAGCCCTATGGCGGCATGTGGGGCCTTAGGGCATACAGGGAAAGGGAAAACATTACATGGACTCTATGGGAACACATGATCACGTGACATGCACACATTTTGGCCCTGCCTTAGACATCCGCCGGGTGGTCCTACCTCTGCGCTCGACAGTCTGAGACCGTCCGCCACCTACTAAATTCATACCTTTATCATCACCAATAATATGATTGATCGCGTAAACCATATAATTCATTGATTGGTAAATTAGTTAAAGATATTTCACCATTTATTGCGCGAACGTTTCGAAACAGTTAATTCGTGTGCTGAAATTCCTTTCATGGCCAATGTAGACGCAGTTAATAACAATTCCGCACATCGTATTTGTGCTTTTGCAAACGTAATTCTCTATATTGTAATTAATATCTGTTCGAAAAATAGAACTCACCTACCCGGAGAGGTCGCGGCCTTCATTTTGTTTTTTAAGGACTGTCTAGCAAAACAACAGTAAGTATATTATACAGGATAATACCACTGATATTAACATGATAATTATCATATAGTTTAGGTACTCGTATTATAAAGTGCGTTTCAAAAAGCCCCCTCTGCGTATTTTTTGAACAGGTCATTATCAACTGAAATACGAGTTAATGAAATTGATGCATTAGTACTATATTTTAGCGTAAAAGTTTATGTTGAAAATTCCAAGATGACCGCTGAGCGCTATTTGGAGTAGGGTGATACCTCATTTTACAGCACCTCAAGAGTCCGTTGTAACCCTGAATATAAAATCATCATCTTTCATAATGGTGAACTGACAACCAGCAATTGATATGCTATATTATGCTACATAGAACCCCGATTATTCGAAATAATGTGGACCCAAGTGCTTTCGGATAAAACGGAAACAAATATTCAGACTCATAATGCTTTTATTGAAAAATGTAAATGCGTGTGTTAAGTGAGTATATGCCTATAAAAGTTACGTAAAATATAAACATGTGGATACCAACATACATATTTACGAGTATTTGTAACAAAGGAAGTAATTTTTAACTGTACGCGTTTTGCATTGTTCCTATTTTTGGCAGCAATATCCCTCCAACGTTTGATAAGTAGAACATCAGCTGCTTTCGCATTTTATTGTTGTTCTACGTAAGTCAACGCCTTTTAGACCGGGAGTTGTGGGCAAAAATGGGGGGGTCATGTGATACAGCAGGAAACCTACTCAGAACGATAGTACTACATGACAAAATAACTTCTAGCACTATGCCGTCACATGATCACGTGATATGCACACATTCTTTTCTCGCCTTAGAGATACGCCGGGTGGTCCTACCTCCGCGCTCGACAGTCTGCCACCTACGAAATGCATACCTTTATCATCAGGGGAGAATTGAATTTTCTGTCCAGAAGGGGTCGGAAAAGACTAAATGATTTTTTACGGCTTTCTTTAGTATCACAGATGCCAACAAAATAATCACGATTCACTTAGTGCCGTACGGAAATAATGGTGCCGGAAGCCATAAAAAATTTGTAATTTTCAGGAAATTTTCTATGCTGAAAAATTAATTAATTAACGTACGGCATTGTTACAGTTACCTTTCTGTAATTTTTTACATTTAAAATTTACCAACGCCGTACATATCTGCTGGTACAGGGGTGAGAAAACTTGGGTCGCAACCCCCTACCCTTATATAGTATAATGGTGGTGAATTGATACAACTTAAAATTAAATAATTTTAATAGTATTTGATAAATTAACAACAATTTTTATAATGCCGTACATTTTTCGTGGCATATATGGCGACACGGGGAAAATAGTTTTCCCCCAAAAATTGTAATTTTATGGTGAAATGATTTTGTACGGCATTAACATACTTCATTAATACTTGAAATAATCATCAAGAAAAAATATATGCCGTATCAAAAGAATAGTTCCCCGTACATTAAAACAATAATTGTAACTAGCGATTATTAGAAGAAGGTCATTAATACATATAATATGTACCGCTCTTACATCGCAAAGTTCTATTATCTTGTTGTCAACTTTCAGGCGCGCAGCAAGAAACCGAGTCTCAAAATCGCACTCTAACTGCATATTTCTCAGAACTTCACCGTTTTATACGTAATGTTCCATGTAAAATGAACGGCATAATAATTTTTCATAATCATTAAATTTATAGTTATAAATATAATTTTGTTTATGCCGTACAGTATTCAATAACCATTAGAGACACCTAAAACTTTCAATATTTTTATGCGCTGCAAAAAAGTATGTAAATAAAAATGTACGGCATATGTTTTTTTTTGTTTTCTAATCTTTGATAAACATAAAATAGCAAGAATAATTTTTAATATCACTTTTGTTATTAATAAATAGTACATTTAAAAATCTATAAATTTTTGAAAATTAGAAAATTTATTATATACTAAGTGACATATATACGTAAATCCGAACACCCAGTTTAAATGGTTTTATTTTAATAAAAGTTGGTGAATGTATTTATCTTACTGTAAATAACAAGTGAAAAAATGTTCAGCCTTACAGTTGGACATTCCGGTTTTTATACTGCTTTTTTTTAATTCACTAACGCTCTAAAAATGAATATTTCAGCCGCAGTAAAGAATCAACGTTGGCGGATTTTGGTTCTTGACATCCTTTACGATCGATTACGGTGCCTAGAGTAGGGAGACCTGTACGATTTCGTCAACTTAGTGAGTTTGATAGGGGCCGTATAGTGGGACTTCGGGAAGCTGGACTTTCTTTTCGGGCAATTGCAGTTAGAGTGCAAAGAAGTGTAGACACTGTGGTTAGGTGTTGTCAGGCATGGCTTCGAGAAGGCCGTACGCAAAGAGCAAGGGGCACTGGACGCCGCCGTAGAACAACAGACCGTGAAGATCGCCGCCTAAGATTATTGGCCTTAAGGGACCGTTTCTCCACTACCAGGTCCATTGCAAATGAATGGTTTGCAGAACACGGAAGACCTATTGGCATGCGAAGTGTTTACCGACGAATGAGAAGTTTTGGCTTGTTTTCATACCTTCCACACTGGGACCTCCCTTTAACTCGAGAACACCGACGTAATCGCCTTGAGTGGTGCAGACAACGGTCACTCTGGGATCAGGAATGGAACAGTATTGTCTTTAGTGACGAGTCTCGATTTTGTTTAGGCATGCACGATGGTCGTGCCAGGGTTAGAAGGCGACGTGGTAAAAGGAGGAATCCACAGTTTTTTGTTGAAAGACATGTTCATCACACTGTTGGAGTTATGGTTTGGGGTGCTATAGCTTATGGTTCCAGGTCACCTTTAATCTTCATCAGAGGTAACATGAACGCGCAGCGCTATATCCACGAAGTTCTAGAACCCCATCTTTTACCCTATCTTGACACAATAGACTTCTTTCGACTTATCCCCAATTGAGCACGTGTGGGATATGATGGGTAGGAGATTGCTCAATTTGCAACGTCCTCCTCAGACTGTAGAAGCAGTTCGAGAGGAGTTGGTGGTTGCCTGGAATGAGATACCACAGGAGGACATTGACCACCTGATCAGAAGCATGCAGAAAATTTTTTATGGCTTCCGGCGCCATTATTTCCGTACGGCACTAAGTGCATCGTGATTATTTTGTTGGCATCTGTGATACTAAAGAAAGCCGTAAAAAATCATTTAGTTATTTTTTATGTAGTACTATCGTTCTGAGTTTTTGCCCACAACTCTCGGTCTATTTTGTAGAGCTTCTAATCCCTCAGAATGTGATATTTTGGCAGAGTTTTCTGTCTCATTGTCACTAGCATCACTTAAAACTGTTTCATCGCCATTGTTACAAACAGTTTTTAATAGTTCTGTGTTAGTTAATTCTTCTATAAATTCATCTCCATTAATCCACTCATCAACATCTGCTTGGGTAAGATTTTCACACCCTGCTATGTTTACGACAAGCTCATGTAAATTTTAGTTGTTATTCTCATAGTGTGCGCAAGGTTCCATTTGTTGCTCAATTATTCTCGACCAAGATTTTTGTAAAGAAAAATCCTTTACTTGGCTCGATGCTTCTGCTATCCAATATGCCACATTCTTCAGGTTGATCTCTTTTAAACAATCAACGAGGTTACAATCATTATCAACTTGATCTAAAATTTGCTCTAATAACAAACGTCTGTAACTGCGTTTGAAATTTTCTAAAACCCCTTGATCCATTGGCTGATTGGCTGAACCAGTGACGTTACATTAGAAGGCAAAAACATCACTCGTGTTTCTCCACTTTTAAGTTGCTCCTTGTATTTTCTCGGATATCCCCGTTCATTCAAATATCGTTCTGTCTTGCGAACAAAATGATTGTAAAACCAGTCCTTAAACAGAGCGGCATCCATCCAGGCATTTTTTTGATTTTTATACCACGCTGCAAGAGCGTTGGGACGGACGTGTTTAAATGCTCTTGGTTTTGCTGATTTTCCGATTAACAACAAAGGCAGTTTGTGTGTACCGGAAGCATTGCTACAAGCAAGGATAGTCACACGATCTTTACTGCGTTTGTAACCAGGAGCTCCAGATTCTTGTTTTGAAGCTAGACTTTTCGCCGGAAACATTTTAGAGTTTGCGTCCGTTTCGTTCCAGTTGTAAATTTGTTCTGGATTTAAACCATACTGCTTGATTAAGTCTTTAAAATGTTCTCCAAATTTTAATGCAGTGGACTTATCGGCAGATAACTTTTCTCCGCAAACTTTCAATTCTCGTATACCGTGTCGTTTTTTCCGTCTATGCAGCCAACCATCACTGGCTGTAAAGTTATCCAATCCAATAACTGGCAATTCTTCACTTAAGTTGACTGCCTTCTGCTTTAGAACTGGTCCGGAAATTAGTATTCCACGTTCTCGATTCTGTGTAATCCACAGATATAAAGCATCATCCACATTTTGATATTCCCCCTTTTTCATAGTTTTCCGTGACCACTTTTCAATTTTCTCGCGTTGTTTTAACCATTCTGAAATGGTACTCACGTCCACACTCAAATCACTTGCCACGTTTTTAAGCAAATCACCTCTATCTAAACGTCTGAATGCCTCAAGTTTCTATTCTATGGTAATAACAACGCGTTTACGTTTATTTCAAGTCTGCTCCATCTTAGCGATTATGAACCTGACTGAAACAAACATACGCGCACACATACCAGCGGCTATTTCGGATCATGCACCGATTTTCCGAACAACTTCGGTTAAAACGGAGAAATTATTGTATGCGATCTGTTTCAGATAAAGCGGATTTCGGATAATCGCGATTCGAAAAACTGTATATCAATCTTCTTTTTTTAGAAGTGTCTAGCTGAATATGAAATAAAATATAAAACATTCCGTTTAAAGAAAATATCAAAACCCTTCAATGTTTTTCAACTGGATGTCCCATATCTCATTGCAGATTCAGATAGACCCTTCCAAAATAGGAAGATTGATATACCATACTATAAGGTTTTGATTATTAGTTGTTGAGTTATGAGCCATTCAATGTACAAAAATGCTCAACTTTAACAACATTCCTGTCCGCTATTTTAAAACATAGTGATTTTATATTCAAGGGTTATAAAGTATTTATAAGATGCTTAAAAATCATGTACGACATGACCCCCCATCGTATTTGAAAAATGTTACAAGATGCCTGGCCACCATCTTGAAATCTTCAACTGTTTTTACTTTAAAATATATCTAGTACTCAAGCGTCAATTTCACCTTTTCATTTTTACCTAGTTTGCATGTATTTTTGATAAAAATATCTATATTAAATGGACTTAGTATGAGTGTGTTTAATTTCGTTTCCTCAAAGTCTGATTTGAAATTTCTATTCTACTATCACACATTTTTAAATACGGTTTTGGCTAATAGGTACTGGCTAATCAAATGCTGTCCGACAATTGGAAACTAACCGGCCGACTAGTAGCACCTTCTGTCCAAGTCTGGCAAAATAGCACTTTTTTTAATAATATTTTTTTATACAATTACAGAAATATCTATAAGCAATGCATTTGTTGTCGGCGAAAAGTTAACAACATATATGATCCCAAGCATTAGTTGTGTTATCTTGAACACAAAATCCGTAATTACACTTTGTATTCCACTTTTGTCTAAACTGTCAGACCACTATCACATCCACCCTACATTAGTACTATCTTTCTGTGAGATGCTCCATTCAGGGGCGGATCCAGGGGGTGTCCGAAATATGATCTATGATTCTGAACCTATTCAATTCTTGTCTGGTTTGAACACACATATTAACGACACTTTTCCATCATAACATTCAACAAAGTTTTGATATTTTCGCTTCACGAAAAAAAAAATGAGCAACCTGTCATGATTGCCAGTACTGTCAAATGACTACGTTTTTCCGTAGTAGTCATAAAAAGCATTTTTTCCAACCATCCTAATTTGCTGTCGCTGTCAAAAATAACTTAATGGAAGGCTCAACGATTCGTTGTTTTTATTGTACTAATGGCCCTATTGTAGAATGAAATATTTTTGGTCACTTAATTTGGTGTAACATATACGAATAACTTCTCCGCATCAAGATTGAAATATGCATCATCGCAATCATCGGATAAATTGAGCGCATGAGAAATGCATAACCGAGAGCCGTAAACAGCAATGTAACGAGAAATTTGGTTCAGTCACTATAGAAATATTTAGGTCACAGCACAGCTGGTAAGAACGTAAACAAACGTGGTGACTTTGTTTACGTGCCTCATCGTGAGGCGTTTGCCAAACGACGGCCGACTGTGATTTTGTAAAAGTCTGTGTACACAACAGTGGCGGACTGACAACAAGAGACCTAGTCACGAAAGCTTTTGAAATTTTTTCTTCAATACTATGACCAAGGACGGATTTAGAGGAAGCGAAGGGTGTCCCCTGCTCAAGTCTGTCTCTTTTTTCAAGAAAATGGTATATAATGCTGTATGTCACTGTAAAAATCACCTTGCTAAACCTGAAACGCGAGACGTGCGCACAAGGTCATTTGCTTTCAGAAACGTTCCTTAACTGTTTAAGCATGCAGCCACCCTCCGCTTTCCAATTTTTAATCGCCATTGACCCTTCCCCCGAGACGAACATCTTCCTAAGCATGAATGCTGTGACTACCGCTACGCCTCCCCTCCCCCTCCCCCTTTGACAGAATCGCTTTTGACTATGACCTCCCAGGGAGGGTCTACCATTGTAAGGTGTAAGCATAAACAATATTTTAGCCACTCTTCTGCATGCGAGCTACTCTGTAAAACAATAAAACAGGGCAGTATTCAGGGAGGAAGGCTTTTCGGCTGAAGCAACACCCGTAACATCCCCTCCCATAGCTCCATAGCCAAATACGACTACTATTTGTCATTCATCTGTCTGTCAGTCCTGGCTGCCAGAAACCAAACAATGTCAAGTTAAAGGAGAGAAGGAAAGAATGAGAAAAAAAGAAGAGCAAAGAAACGAGGAGTTTAGAGGAAACACCTTGGCTTTAGATTTGGTACGCGAATTGATTTTGAGGTCCACTAAAAATAAATTTTGATCCAGGTTTTGTTAGTGTAATTTTGGGTTCGCGCTAATGTTTAATCACAATGCGAGCCGTGAATGCTTACGAATTTGTTCGACTGCGTCGTCCACTGAAGCCATGCAACAGAGAGTTTCTCTGCGATTCCGCTTGACTGTAATGAGGCTGCGCCTGGATCCTGATTTAATCCTTCAAGTAAGGAATGTCGAGGTCACAGCCTGATAACGTTTGTAGTCACCGGCCGCTGCCCCTATGGGGGGAAACGACGTTGCCAGATGGACCGTACTATCGGTGTGGCAGGGAAAGAATGTCTGTGGACTAATTGAATGAGTCTGTTTGACTGACTTGATCAGAGGGTCTAGCTCGTGCTGACCATAAACTGTTATGAACTGATAACTGCGTTGCATTGGAACTACAGAGTCAAAACTGACTTGACGCCATTCTTCTATAGAAAGTGGTACTATTTCGCTATGCAATGTATGCATCCAAAAGATTGCCATCCTATTTTGGACACTCGGTATATTACTAAGAATCATTACAACTTTTAAAACATTGAGATTGCCAGTTGATGTGTCATCATCCTCATTTCTCAAAACCGCAGATCGTGTTGTACCTATTGGTGACTTAATATGATGAGTTATTTTGTAATGTATTTTAGGCCAGCGTTAAAACCAAATACCCAGAAGAGTCGTCAATAGGTTGTGCAATGGGTTAAAGCAGCAAATCAAAAACAGAAACAAATATTTTCAGGAACTCAATTTCTCATCTGTGCTTATGTTATTGTAACCACAGGATTCAAATAAACATCAACAATTTTAACTGCGATGAACACGTTGATGGCTTTATGATATATTTTTGCATTAGAACCAACCTCGTAAAAATCGAGATGCAGACGACTCTATCTTTAGTTAAGTTTTCTCATAATGTTTATTGCAGGTTGTTTTTTATTTGTATTATTACACCCGCAGGGACGCAACTATTGGGGAATAGATATTGATGAGTCTATATACGTTTATTGTTCGTTTGGTTGTCTAGATAATGTCCTTCAGTTTGATGGAAATAACAAATATAGCTTCATAAAATAAGGTCAATTAATAATCGGTTGACCTTAGGTTGAGTTATACGGTGATGATATATGAAAAAAATTATTTAAGCATTACAACTAACTAGATGAAAATGGCATATGGCAAATAACAGTTGATGAGGCGCCCAGACAAAAGCTGTTTGAAAAATGAATTGAGATATGTACCCTAACTTAGCCAAATTTACATGTGATTTTTGGGTGGTTATCTGAAATTTGGTTAACTTCTGATGTAATTTTGAATGTGGTGTTTTTAGTTAAAAATCAGAACAGCTTATATTCTATGCTGTAGGCATAACATCTACTTTGCTGCGTCTAAAAGGGGTAGTCACTTTACTTGATATTTTCAGAGAAATATATGATTTTTTAAAATCAGTGTTCTAGGGACTGACGACAAGTGATAGGGACTGACACCAAACACGGTTATTATGTCAAATCACATTTTTTATTGCAAAATCAACCGTAACAACAAAATAATCTCTTCTATGATTTATAATCACAGTACAGGATTTATTTTTTAATTATACACTTGAAAATAATCTATCAATATTTCTCAACAATCAAATTATACTTTGAGTTTAATACTTACAAACTAATAGTCCTTTAAAAATTAACAATTATTTTAAATAATCAGCTTTCTATAGTTTTGAGTTACCAAATTATAATTTGAACACAACATTCAGACTTTCATTAATTATTATGAGATCACAAATATTTCGCACTTAAACTATCTAGTACCTCTTATTTATTTGTTTCACTATTTGTTTTACTTCTCGTAAACATTAATGGGTTTTTTAAATTTGTGAAGTACTGTATTTCTCTTGACGATTATATTAGGAACTGGCAGTTTTTCTATAACGTCTTCGTAAGGTACGTCGGCGATATCATTATCATTTATTTTAAATTCTGTGCCATCTTTATTGCAAACTTTAAGAAATGTAACTGTCAGTTCTCCATCTTCGTCATCATATTTTGAGCAAACTGCGGCGTATCGTTAATCTTTTCCCCTCATTATTAACTTAACTAGAACATAATCGCCACCGCCGTAGCTCGTTTTTGACTTTTCTTGTGCAATGTGGCTCATACTTGCTAACGGCATATCATCTTCAGAATCTGTGAGAATATCTGAAACTTGAAGCCGCTGTGTATTGGTTTGGTACGTAATAGTCCCCAACCTATAATGGTCACAACCGTCATTATCACAGAAGCAACTTAGTGACTTCAAGACAAGTTTATTAGGGTTATAAATATGACCCGAGACTTGATGCACCAAGAGAGTTCCTTTAAACGGTTTCTGCTCTTTCTCATGTTCCTTGATCATTTTGTTAACTTTTTCTATGTCGACATCTTCGATAGAGATATTTATATTTGGACACCTTTCTCGAAGCACAGCTACAAAGTCGTACAAGTTCGTAATGTCACCTCTCTGAGCTATGAGTTGGTCTGCAGAGCGTTTGCATGTAGCACAGGTATCACGGTCTGTAAGCTTAGGCACAACAACCCAAAATGGACGCAACTTGCAAAAATAATTATACCCAATTTTCATCAAACTCGTATTGTAAAATTTTTGATGCAAGTTCTTCAAGGAATCCAGCAAATATCTTTTTTGTTTTTTAATTTTTTCGCGAGTGATGCACTCTTTTTTTCCTGCCGCACAACGACTATTATTGTCATCTTCATAAAACTTGTGTATGATTTCTTCAACTCTCTTTTTTTTTTCGCATAGCTTCATATTTTGTACGATTAAATCCCATCTTTTTATATGTATATATGTATGTGTTTCCAAGTCTCCATATTTTATATTTATGTGTCAGTGGACTTGACAAAATCGTTTTTAAGCAGGTTTTTGTTTTGGGTGTCTGAATCTCTTTATCTAAAATTTGCCTTTGAATAATATCGCCAAATAACGCTTGTTTATTAATTCTGCTTTTTGATTAGGGTCGTTGGCCATTTCTACAATTTTACTTTCTGGTGTCAGTGCTTGCTTCTTTTGTATCATTCTATGTTTCAGTCTTCTGTTTCTTTGTTGTTCGTTGACAAGTTTCTTCTTTAAATTTTCAATGAGTAAGTCCTTCCTCTTCAACATACTATTTCTTTTTCTCCATTGAACTATACTCCTCCTTCTAGCTTCAGCTCCTCTTTCATTATTTAATAAAGGAGCCTCAGGAATAATTTCATCTTCCGATGATGGCGGCGTATTTTGGTCCACGTATTTATCTGTATTGTCACGAATCTTTTGTTTTTTTCTATAATCAGATGAATAGGCTACCCAATTTTTTCTTGCCTTTCTGTGCTCACGGGGAGTCATGTCTTTTACACACTTCCGTTGTCCTTTTTCCTTTTTCTTTAGATATTTTAGTCGTTCCTTTTCTTTGTACGCCGCCAGCAAAACAGGATCATTTTTAATTGTTTCTAATCGCCTCTTTGGCTGTTCAGACTTTTTTTTTGCAATTTCCTCTTTAGACAATATTTTTTTCTTTATAGGCGCCATATTCTACAACAAATACATTGGTATTATGATTAAAACTATGCATCACACAGTATGATCATCAGTCCCTAGTCACTATTACGACTAGGGCCTGACGGTCTAGGGATTGACGAAACGAAGCAAAATCAAATGAAAGCTATTATTTTAAATCACTATAAAATCAATAGGCGGTCAAAATAACAAAGCAGATCTAGCTCATACATTCGATAAGTAATGAGATCAATGAGTAATTATATATGTTTAAAACGACTTACCGAGGGCCTGAGAGTTTGACTGGCACAGCACGTGTTTCCGCAGCAAAGTCGGTTACCACACTAATAGCAAAATTGCTGCCGCGGCTTGGCTCGTGTTTTCAACCAACTACACACCAATGCTACCGTATTGAGTGAGTTAAGAATAAGACATATGTTTGGATGCCGCGTATTTTTGAATTTCGTAAATGACTAGGGCCTGATATTTTTTATCGCTTACACTTTTTGACTTGAAATAATGTGATCAAACAAAATTATTTTGTACATTAAATCGTAATGACAATGTAAGCAATGTAATAGTAAACAAATTTAAATAGAGTTTCAGCAAATTATTATTTAATACAATAAGATTACAGTGACGTGAATGCTAAATTTGGGAGATCTTACATGGCTAGGACCTGATATTTGGAGTAAAAAATGTCAATTTATTGAAATAAAGAATATTATCGTATTTATCAAAAGTGGTGACCGAACTAAATAGACTATAAAATATCGCTTAGTAGTTTCAGATATAGGATATATATTTTTTAATATTGTGAAAATTCATGCTAACACCAAGTTAACCAAATTTCAGATAACCACCCTTTTATAGCTATACAATCTGATTCAGATACAAAAACATGTCGTTACATAGAGGCGTCGGTAACGTAACTAAATGCAAAACCATTTTAGTAACAAACGCCATAAACATAGGCGACCACAGTGCGGCCAACTTTTTGTGAAAGTGTACTTGCCCCTAAAACTTTTTGGAGAGCGGGGGTAGTAAATTTCCCACGGGAAGGACAAGTCCTCAAAAAATCCGCAAAATTGTACACAACATCATGCTAAATATACAAATTTTAGGGATCAACCGGATTCCCAGGAGCCGTGTAGGAGGGGGGGAGGCTGGGCATATATTAGCTCAGGGCCTTCGACTGAAGCGGCCCCAGGGGAGAGCGAAATCTGTTCGAGTCGTTTACCTAATACACCTGCGAAGCTAATTTCACCAGATTATATCCAAGAACACGTTGACTGCCACCTTTTTACGGTTGGTTTTACCCAGGAGCCAATTAGTTGTATAATGGTTCATTTGTTATTTTGGTAGTATAACTTCGTAAAATCAGTTATTGAGGTATTTACGTAAAATGTTTTTTTAATTAGAAGATTTTTTGTGGCTCTTCTAAGAGCCGACGGCACTGACTTACAAATCGGTTTCTTGTGTCCCAGCTGGCGCTTATAAGAGTCGGAAGATAATTGTTTTTTATAATAGCAATAATAGAAACTAAAAGCAAATAAACATTTATTATCGACAAAAATATAAAATAATTTTTGTAACTCAAAATAGTAGAGAATATATAAAAGTACTATAACAAAAACTTTTCCGGTAAATAATACACCTAATGTGATAAAATCTTATCAAAAATAAGAAATGAAACAACTTTTTTTTGGAATACAAACATGAATTTATGGTGTATGCAGACGATTTTTAGTGCAAAACATTATTTGTGAATAATGTCACTGCACTCCAAGCAGAATCCTAGAACATCAGGGCATGTTCTACATTCGTACATCGTTTGGGTACGGATTCCCTTCTTGCTTGGACTGGCATCTTTTTCTGGATACTTGTTTTTTACCATCTAAATCACGTTTTACTAATTTGTGCCCTTGAGTGCCTGCAGTATTGTACCTTGGCTCTGATAAGAGTCAGCGGCACCGGCGAACATCTCGCGTTGACTCTTATAAGAGCCAGCCAACGCGAGATGTTCGCCGGTGCCGCTGACTCTTATCAGAGCCAGCGGCAGCGAACGTGTTAATCAGCTCAATGACTCGACTACTACTCTTCGAGGAATTTACCTGATAAACTTGTTAATCTTACTAATACTCGTATAACCATTAATACGCCCGATGATTTCGAACTATTCCCGAGGTGATAAGTACAAGAAGGACTCCCACCGGACAATATCAATTAATCCATTCAACGACACCTACCCGTTCGAGGTGCTTGCCTAACAAAGTTGCGACGTAATTTCACCGGACTATATCGACTAATTCACCCGGCCACAACTATTACTGCAGTTTGAAGTGTTTTCCCAACAAACTTGCGAAGTTTGTTCCTCAGCAGGGGGCCTGGATAGCCCGGTGGTTAGCGCGTCGACCTACTAGTCCATCGTTTCGAGGCTCGCGGGTTCGAATCTCTCACACACACACACACACACACACACACACACACACACGCACGCACGCACGCACGCACACACACATTCGTACTACGGGGTGACAACGGTCAAATTTGGCCAGTACCTAGGCTTCACCTCCCCACCACTACCACTACTAATCTTGCCGGACTATCTCCATTTACTGCCTACTTATACTTAGTACTCCCGACATTAATTTTTGGTATTTGCCTGATGAACTTGCAAAGTTAAATTTCACCAGACTATATGAATTAGTCCGCCGACGACATCGATAATTGTGTCCAAGCTCGGGGTTCAGAGCCTCATGGGCCCTGATTTGCACTGCGATACCTATTTGTAGGTATGCAACTAAATATTATGAGACGGAAAGAAGTCCAACCATATACCATAAATTCTCCTTTGCTAAATATCACTCTTGCAGTTTTTCATGCCTCATGATTGTAGAAAAATAATTCGGTCAGTGTTGCCAGTAATAGATTGATTATTGTTACTAAGTTAGTGCCATTAACCATTAACTGATAAAATTACATAAATTTACAACTCAGTATTGTCATATTCATTAGGAGCTATTCCATCAGTGTTGCCAATCGTTATTCACTTGATCAGCAATTGGCAACTCTGACAAATTTAGCGCCCTTCATTCTTTCGTGTTGGAGTCATTGTTTAGGTCAGGTTAGTTACCCGTAATTCCCACACCGTGTGGCTAAATAGTAGGTATCACAATCGCGCCCAACTCATCTATTTACCAGTTCACTCATAGATAGCGCCGCCAATAATTTATTATGCTATTTTACATTCAAACTATTTCTGATATTTTTTGTCAAATTGAGTGGTATCGTGTAACAGCGTATACAATACGAGTGAGTTGCTATGAAAATTGACGAAATTGATTATCCCTTTTATGATCGTAACTTAAAAGTAGCAGATTTGCTGTGAAAATGGCAAATTACCAATGCTGGTTAACAATTGCAGAACGCTATCTATGATTGAATAGTTTAGTGGAAAAGATTTTTTTCTTAATTATGATACCTTCCATCTAGACGCCAAACATATATTTTATATTTAATTTAACTGCACAAAACAAGGTATATTCTTTAATTCACCGGTTGATTCCATCACTGATGGATCCGGTGAACTTATGGTTGACAGCTGATGTATGACGTTAGCAACCGGTTCCGATGAATGGCAGTTGATAAAAAGCCCATTTTTAGCCTTGAGGCTGCTGTCATATGAGAAAACCTAACCTCTGTTTTATCGTTATCGTGAATGGATACTTGTTAATTTGGTCCGAGTAAAGATAACATGGCCATGCAAGACAACTGTTGAAATATATTCTACTAGACGATAGAAGACTATCCGTAGCGAAATTTTTGCTGAAATCATTGCACAACACTTAAAAAAATGCAAATGAAAATTGGCGCTTTAACGTTCTAAATGACTCCGTCGGTACCCCGGGATAGACATCCGTCTTGATAGGTAGCCTTGTCATTCTTGCCACCTGGATTGCGGCATTGCCAGCTTATCGGACGAATTTGCTACCTCTGCTATTTTGATAGAATGTTATTAAAAAGGTTGTGAATAAAATATTAAGGTATACCAATCGAGATACATAACATTTGAGGCGTAGCAATGTTTGCCAGAAAACTAAACAAAAGCTGCTATTTACATTTTGCGTCGCCTGGCGTCCATGCGGCGGAACGTTAATTTCTCTGAATATTTTTTAAATGCCCAGTTTTATTGGAAAAAAACAATGTGTTATTATATAAATATATTTATTAACTATTTAATCTAAAATTACATGATCTTATTAGGAGAAGTACGATTTTCATTTTACTCTACTATTTTTAGTATCCGTCTTATATGCAGATAAATTAGGCATTCATTTTGAGGAAGCTAAAAATGGACAGCTTGATAACTTGAATCCAACTTATAACTTGTCGATCATGTGGAATTACAGGCAGACGCATTTTCGACGCATCATATTCTTACTCTTGTTGGACATTTGGTGCCCACGTATCCTGCAACAACCAAGGTAAGACATTGTAGTTTTCTAAACGCGGGTTGAGATTCCAGGTTTGAAAACGCCAGAGAATCAACGCTTGATTTTTTGCACCATATTTAGTAAACATATAGTGCCAAGGGCTACTGTAAGTATTCTTATGTACCTACATTCATTTCTGAAAAATCTCTAAACTATTAGCAAGGCCTCGAACAAAAGACTATTTTTAGTCCGAGGAATTGGTGGTAGTCAATAATTAACAGTATTTCACATTGTGCTTTGACACTAGCTCTTGGCACTATGTTTACTAAATATGGTGCAAAAAATCAAGCGTTGATTCTTTGGCGTTTTCAAACCTAGAATCTCAGCCCCGTGTTCAGGAAACTACAATGTCTTACCTCGGTTGTTGGGGGATACGTGGGCACCAAATGTCCAACGTGAGTAGGGATATATGATGCGTCCAAAATGCTGATTCCGTCTGCCTGTAATTCCACGTGATCGACGAGTTATAAGTTGGATTCAAGTTCAAATCGTTCAGCTGTCCATTTTTAGCCTCCTCAAAATGAATGCCTAACATCTCTGCGTATAAGACGGATGCTAATAAATATTAAAGTAAAATGAAAAACGTTCTTCTAGCAAAATAGCAGAGACAGCAAAATTGTCCGATGAGCTGGCAATGGCGCAAACTAGGTGACAAGAATGACAAGATCGTATGTCTATCCCGGGGTAATGACGGAGTTATTTAGTACGTCAGAGCGCCAGTTTTCCAATCTTCATTTGCATTTTTCAAGCGGTGTGCAACGATTTCGAGAAAAATTCCGCTACGGATAGTCTTCTAGAGTATATTTCAATAGTTGTCTTGCGTGACCACGTTATCTTTACTCGGGCCGTTAATTTGAACTCCGTATCATTTAAAATCATTATGGCAATGTACGCAGCCGTTGGTATTGTGGTGGAACGTTTGTTGAACGATTCAAGTGATGATTCGGATGAAAAAGTTATCCAGTGGAGAGAAAGAGCAAATTTTCAGATATGCATAATTCAAAATAAAATCACTTGCCTTCAGATGCTCTGATTATTTAGAATTGTGTTAAAAAAACATTTAATTTCACGCCACTCCTATGCTGTAGCATAACTTCAATCTTTTCTTTATTTTTTTCACACAAAACTGTAGTTGTCAAAAAATGGTATAATGTAGAGTATAGAATATCGTGGATCAACCGAGCCCGAACGTCGGTGGATGCTGTCGGCACCGTTAATATACATAGACCAAACACCATAGATGGGAAGGGAAAGCATATTCATTGAAACTATACTAAGCAAAATGAGAGACACGACCTGCGGAAGAAAATGAATGGTAGATAGAAGTTGACCAGGGAAAATGGCATACAAAAGATTTAGGAAGAAAAATGATAATCCTACAAGATGGCTGAAAAAAAGCTATAGGGAGAAAAATGGACGACATGTTAACTTGAAGTCGTTGAATACAATCTAGATCACAGAAGTTATCTTCGAATGACAGCTTCACACTTGTGAATTTGTGTTTTGTGTTCATCAACATAACCTTCGGTTTTGGGTGTTTTTGATTGAAAACCAATCAAAATATTGATAATAATTAATGAAGTTTCCCCTTTGAAAAAAGTTACTTCCCATATTGAATTTAAAGGTAGGTACAATTCTTTGTTGCCACCTACCACTTTTTATGTAGCGTTAGTTTGAATATACCTCTGATCTTGGCCTAATAAATGGATCAATCAATGTAAGTACCGACCTTTTGCTCTACTTTCAGTTTTAAAGCCCTATTAAGAGGTCTTATAAGATATTGATGTAATTGTTATGACGCAAACCAATGAAACAACTCCATGAAGATTTTTTTACTTCAAAAAGTTGTAATTACAAATATGTACACAGATGTATAAAACTTGAAGACTTAAGAAAAAAGACTTAAAATCAACAGACATTCACTTGAGAGTATGTTATTGTAACACACTTAAAATTAGCCTTAAGATAAACTTAGGATTATTATCTATACACTTAGTTGTACTTATATAACATGGAGGAAACTTAGAAACAACAGTTTATAACTTTAAAATCTTATGCAGATCATTTCTTGCGACTCTTGAAGATCATAGGTTCATAGTATCCAAATACTTCTTGAGAAGCATATGTTACGTAAAGAAAACCATCACTATCAGCATGCTCTGCATATACTTCAGCTAATGTTAAGGACTGGCTCATCATTGACCTATTATTTACCAAAAGGTATAAGGCTTGGTTTTTGCTCAATCGTATCCTATTCCTGAAAAACAAAAGGAAAATTGAATATCCTTTTATTATTATCCATTTATAAAAATGAGTTGTATATATTTTGTGTGATTTTGTATTTATTGAAAACATTTTATTATTGTTTGCGCACTACTGACTACCAGTTCAATACAAGATATTTTTATAATTTCTACACTTTGATTAATCATCCTTTTATTTCCCACGCCTACTGGCGCGGAAGTATTTTAATGCAAACATTTTCGAAAATGAGATATTTTCTGGATGTTATATGACAAAAAACTGTCACTCACTTTCATCTTTCTGTCTGTTTTACTGTGAAATTTGGGGGTGGCAGTTGTAGGGGTGTCTCAATTTTTTGATGTTATATTTATATACCCCCCCACATTGGTAATTCTATGCCCGGATTAGACATATTTCACACATCATTGATTTCCGCATACATTAAAAAAATATTGTCAGCAGACGGATCGCGAACCTAACGGCCGCGTCTGCTTCTGTTCCCGGCTCGTGGTAAGTGTTTTGGTATTACTTCCGCGCGATAGCATAGTGTTTTCTATGTTGTGGGCGCGGTGCCACGACTGACCGAGTTAGATATTGGGGAGAGGCGACGTTCCCAGATGGACTACAGGCAGGGCAGGAAAAAAATATATATGAACTAGTAGTATGGACCTGTTTGAGTGACTTGGTCCATTTGATTTCACTGTTAGAAGTTCATAGTAAATTTTTTTCACAGAGGTGCGTTCATAGTATCAATCTGGTTAACTGTTTCAACTCTGACTTTACTCTAGACTTTCATCAGATACTGGAGTTGAATTGTCGCTGTGTTCATGACCTCAGGAATTACATACGCTAGGTTGAGATTTAGGACAACAGTAAAAAATACTTGTCATGATGATTTTTGTGTTACATGACCACTTGAGAATAAACTCTTGATAACAATTTTTTTTTAATTATTTTTTGCTACATCTTGTAAATCTAAAAATACTCGAAATGCTATAAATACATATAATATATGCGTAAATGTAAATACAAATACAGTTGGTAGATAGTGATAATCACGGTACATAACATACTTTTTCTAGAATATGAATATATCAGGTGTAATACGGATCTCATCATAGCATAGTGTTTCCTATGTTGCGGCCGCGGGGGGAAGCGACGCTGCAGAATGTATATGGACCAATTGTATGGACCTGTTTGGCTGACTATTTTTTTCAGAGTCAAGTTTTTGCTGAACATAATCCTTTATGAAAAACCGCTAATAGCGTTGTGCGGGAAGTGCAGAGTCAACCTATACTTTACGCCATTTTTTTTAATGCAAAAATATTGTTGTCAATTAATCTATACATAACGTATGCATAATTGAATATAGTTATTGATAAGTATCTGGATCAACTGCATGCATGTACTGACTGAAAAATATCCCAAGTTTTTATCAAACAAAATAAATTTTATGACTTGTGACATTTTCTAATTAACCATTTTTTATATTAATTGGGAAAAACCATGATATTGTATCCGAAAGATGATATTACATAAAATTGAGCAATGCTACAAAGATAAAATATATCAAATCTTAGCTTATGTTTAATATCTTTAAAATGTATCATGAACGTGGTATGTGATTTAAATTTTTTTATTCTGCAAACTAGCACAATTTTGAAATTTTACAAAAATAAGAACTACAAATAACAAACGTATAACCATATCTTACCTTATTATTGTTTGAAACTGTGACATTGTGATTTCTTGTGGCACTAAGAATTTGGATTTGTCTAAGTTGGGTAAGTGATTTTCTTTGTAAAACTTTTGTACTATCACCTGCAAGGAACATATACTTAAGTATTATATTATCTCAAAAGATGAACATGTTTTTATTAAATAACCTTTTTTTGGATTGCTTTTGATTTGAAAACGTAAATATTGCTGTTACACAAAAAAAATATTAGTAATATCTGGTTGAAAATCTCTCAAATAGTCAATCCTAAAATAAAAATAGGATTCTTTAACATACTCAAGAGGTAGATTAGAATAAAAAATACTTACAGGTATTTTTGTAGGGAACCTATTCCTTATCGCCAACACTTCTTCTTTCCTTATTTCTGGAATAATAAAAAAAGAAAGTATATTAAAAAAGCTCGACATCGCACAATTTCGAAATTCGCAAGATATGAATTTTTTTAACTGATTCAAAATAAAATGACTCAATGAGACAGTTACGCTTGTGTTTCTTCAAATAAGAGTGAATAATTAGTGTATCCTGCATTCTTGACCCGAGAAAAATCTAAAGAATACTCGGTGTGTAACAAGCAACTCTTTCTCGATAGCAGCTGAGGAGATAAACACCCATTAAAAATATCGACAATACATATACGTTATTATTTCACAATAAATAAATTGATCACGGCATATCGCAAAATAGTACAGTCGATATATACACTTTGTTGGATGCTCCTTAACATGAATCAAGTGGTTGTCAGGCGATAATCCGATGCATATTTGTTTAGGATCATTTTGTAAACAAATTTCAAAATGGTTTTGCGCTCCTATCCTTTTTTTTGGATCGTTCTGAACAAGAAAGGTCCTTAGTAAGTTCTCCTAAAGTTGAACGATTTCGAGTTAAATAATCCTTATAATGGAGGTTCATACATTAATCTACAAGATCTCAAAGAGTGTGTTGTAGGTACTTTTAGAGCATCTTTATGTAAATAATGTAAGTCTATCATCTACAGATAAATACATCATCCATACCAAGAGAAAAAAATTATAATGTCTAACCAGTACGCCTACCACACTGCCTTACAGGTTTTTTCTTGTAGTTTAGATTACAAATGCGGTGCTTTGAAGTAATGAAGTACTATTTCTCGCGTTTCTGGTTCCATGAACAATGCAGATGTACCATTAGTAGTTGCAGATTTCATATCCGTCAACCGGTTGCGTCAAGAGTTTTGGGTTTTCGCGTTCTCGAAACGCTTTTGGCATTTTCGGGACGAGGAGCGAGGGTGACGAGTTTGGTACATCTAAAACAATATCAGATCACGTCATGCTCGCTTGTCGCTTACTTCAAGCGGTCAAGGGCTTTGCTGGTATTACGCGGTGCCATCTTGAAGTTTTAATAATGGCTTCACGCGATCCCGACTTACTACATGATTGCTGAGGCTGTTGTTCTAACACACTGAATATAATGAAAAAAGAAAAACGAACTGCCACTTGGAGGTCAGATAAATATCAAATTCGGGGTGTGTTTCCTAATCCACTGTCATTATTCAAGAAGGCGATGTATGCTCTAAATGTCAACTTGGAGATAAAGGGTGGTAAAATTTCCAAAAATTAATCACTTATCTGTCATAACCACTTTAAATATTTTAATGAAATTTGGCATACACGTTCTATGTATCACGAGGATTAAGAGTACTTCAATTTCCACCTGTTCCCACAGATATTGATGGTAGCCACTGATTTCTCTTAAAATAAAAATTGTTGTTGGTTCGCCGTTTCAAAGCAACTTTTTTTAACAATATCGAGAATATGACAATAGCATCACCCCGAGAAATCGGTTTTTTAGGTGAAAACCGTGCGTCGGACTAAAGAAATTTAAGAGATCAAATTGCTCATAAATGAATACATATTTCATTTTTATTTTTATTTAAAAGTCAGTGGTGTGCCACTGATTTGTTCTTGAAAACTTGACCACACTGTATCTCTAAGGTCAAAACGTTTAGGAAATATCGATAGACTAGATGTGAACATCACCTAGGAAGCACTCTGTATATTGTCATTGTCATCTGTACTCTGCAAAAGGCCATAGTGGTGGCCGAAATGTCAGCAAAAAAAGTAACTCATAAATTTATGTGTTTTTATTATGACTAGAAAATCACGGAGTTTCATTGTTAATTAATTGTTTATAACACTTTATATGCTAAGCGCACTTCCCTCTAGCGTAGGGAAAATTCCAATGTGTAAAATGTTTTATTTTGTGATCTGTGCATAAAATCTGTAGCTTGACTGTACCACGATTATATATACTTCAGTATCACATAAAAATAAGTAGATCAATTGCGGCACATAAGACAACAAATAAATACTCGTATACTGACCTATAGGCTTCTTGTTGTTGACTTGATTGTTGCAGTTGTTATCCTTGTTTTTTTCCACGGTTGACGGAACGATGATTTTCTTCTTGAGCGCATGCATCGAACCCACGTTGTTATTTGCGCAGTCGCAAGCTTTCAAGCTGTTCGTCGGTGACTTGGAATACATTTAAAGTTCATGCACTTTACACATATCACTAAAGACGTCCTCTCCTTCTCTTTGCGGAAGGCTGTGCTGAAGTTTCTGAAAAAAAAAGAAATACCTTACTTCTGTAACATCAGCTATCATAAAAATTAAGCCATGCTGACTTCCTCAGTCCTTCCCAAGGGCAGATTTAGGAATCTGTCTAGGTGGGCGCAGCGGTGGTTACACCAATTATCTCTAGGAATATGTTCGTCTTCCAGGGGGAGGGATTTAGGTCTAGCAACGTAATTTTGACATCAAGACACAGCAATATATCAGATTTTTTTGAGCAAAATAGTAGACTTGGACGTCTAGTGGGAGTAGGGCTCTAAATCCGCTTTGGTACTTCTCACTTAACTTTTTTTCAAACTTCCGGAAATTTTTTGACAACGTTCTAAAATGGTCAGTAGTTAAAGAAACACATCGATAAACAACGTTTATGACTTTTTAAAAATTGACTTCTCTAGAATTTTTTATTGCCCAAAAATCAGAAACCCTAAACATTGTACAACGAAGTTTGAGACCTGACAAGTTTAGTTTTTGAACTGGACCGATTTTCAAAACCCACAACACTATGTTTAACAGATGTTTTTCTCATTTTATCTACCACTTGTACAATCTCGTCCCCACAAACCTTAAGTCTATGTCTGTGTCAGCTTTTAAAAGAAGTTACAGAAAATTTCTATTAGATGAATTGTAGTGTTTACTTTATATTGTTCCTTTCCTTTTTAAATTTCAAATGTTTTTTTTTTGTTAAATCTGCTCAAAATGATTTGACCCTTTTCGTTAAATTATATTTTTTATATAATTTCTTTATATACATATACTTTTTTGACGTTTGTAATCATTATTTATTACTTATTAATGTTAACTTATATTATTTGGTTAAGAACTCCTCTGTTGTAATTTTGTTTGTTGGGCTAGTACTTCTGACTGTTTACTACTTTTGCATGTTGTTTCTTCATTTTTAATTTTTTCTCTTTGTATTTTTTTGCTCTGCAAATAAACGCTATTATTATTATTATTATTATTATTATTATTTTCTAGCCATTGTCCTAAAACGATCATAAGCTTTAGAATATGACAAAAACAAGGGATAGAATTGAAATAATCTGAACACACCAAAAACACATTCTAACATGATCAGATATTTCAGAAATACACAATCAATAAATCTTCAATTTTGTAAACAATTTGACCCTTTTCTTATAGTATTTTCAATTCAGTTCAGAAATAATTGAAACCCTCAACCCTATGAAATAACGAAGTTCGAAGAAATTTTTATATTTTTTAGTGTTTTTCTGATTACTTGATATCATTGCACCGCCACCGAAAGATATCGGGTGTCCAACACAAAAAAAATGCCAGTTCCTATCAAAAACTGTCCTGCGGGGTGCCACCGTTTTCCTCAAATAATATAGGCCCACCACAATCGGTGCGCTGAATCCGAATTCGAAAATAATTCGTCGTGCTATTCAGTTTGAGACTTAGTTCTTACTTTCATTAAACACTGAAGGTCTTAAAATCCCCCATATCGGCACAGGACACATAATTCTGGTGGATCCGTCAACCCCAGGTAAGCAGAACCGAATTTGATTTGGTTTTTTGTACGATACAGATTCATTTTGTACTTGCTAACAGCTCTTTTATTTACAAAAGCTCATTTGCATACAAAAAACAAAACGCCACAAACAACTTTCACTAGATTTATACACGATCTATTATTGCCAACGTTGCAGACTATCACAAAAACGTCACTTGCTGATCAGCTATTCACCTCGGTAGACGTCAAAGTGTGATGGATACGCTTGTCAAATAGGGTGTGCGTGTGGCGAATATTTACTTTCCGCAAGCGAAAACCTTAACTTCTTTTTATTTGATTCACCCAAAATATATGCATCGATCGTAGATATGTTATATTTACCTATTTTGCACTTATCACCAAAAATTTGATTACTATTCCTCTCACTTTTATCACTAGAGTTGACTTCTTCTCACAGCTGTGGAATTTTCGGACTGGTCAGTTTCTAGAAACGGATAAACGAATTTGTTTCTGTTTGATTTTCTTATCGACACGCGCTCCGAAGCGGAAGTTTTTTATTGTTATTTGCAGATCTCTGCCCCGCGTGGCACGAAGACTTCTCGAGGTGGTACTTGGTACTGTCGAGAGGTAGCGAATTTTGCCGGGTGATATTTGAAATAGTAGTGGGGATTGTGGCTAAGAAAGTTAATGGGCTAGCGTTTTGGAGTGAATCATCACAACCTTAATCCAAAGTGGGGCGAAAGTGATGTCATAATGCAAATTGGTAGTCGAAAGTACCCTAAACCTCCCACAAAGCGAACGTCTTGTCTCATTAGCTCATCATTTGCAATATCATTACTGCCAAGTATAAATAGTAGCATATGTATCTACTAGATAGAAGTGGAACGCTCCCGCAGCATGATGCTTGTTCGTCGATCATTATGTTGTTTTGAAGAAGGCATGCAACAGAAAAAGAAGCATACGTCTACGATGCTTGTCACTAAGCAATCAGAAACGGTGTCTAATCAAATCTTAATTGACGATTGAAAATTTTAATTTTACCACGGATTGTTTTGGCACCTATTTTCTAAATCAGAAGCACGTAACCTTGTTGGAAATTATTTTTTTCAATAATTTTCAACTACTATTTATGCACGTTTAAGGAAAATGTTGCTCAACATTATAAAGTAAACGTTAAATTCTATTGTTTTAGCAATTTTGCAAAATGGGGTCCGATGTTGGCACTTTCTCTGTACCAAGGGCGTATTCAGAGGGGCTTTGGGACTCAAGCAATTATCCTGCTTGTTTAACGGAATTTTAAATTTGTTGTGAATCATCTGGCTCCAAAATGGCGATCTCTCTTCCAATATTGGCTTTCGAGATCTTATCAAGCTCCAAAACAAGTAATGCCCTGTCGTTAGATCTGAAACTCTGTACCAATATTTCAAATATTTTTAATTTTACACATTTAAATGAACCGTGAACGGAACCCATTTTTTTTATTTCCATGATAACAAGCAAGCTTAGGCATCTTTGACTACTTTAAACCATTTACGTGATTAGAAATTTGGAAAACATCAAAAACAAATGTTGCAGCTTTTTTTTCAAATTTTATCTGAACAGTTTATACACTGCGTGGTTACAACAGCATACAGTCAGATCTACCAACAAAAAGACAGGACAGTGCAAACGAGCGACACGAATTGTATTATGGAATATAGTAACATAGACAACGTTTTGACCTGAATTCAAAAACATTAGCGATCAGAATACTTTCTTTATGAGTTTAAGGTGAAAATATGAAATTTGATATTTAGCCGACCTTGAAACTCACATCATATATCACTTATTTTGACTAGGTTCAAATAGTCAGGTATTCAGAAAAATCTTCCATAGTTACCCTAGTGACATTCTGACATTGGTCACGTAGGCACACTATCTATTTGTAAATATGATTGGACCATCATAAAGTGATTAATACCTGTTTACCGAACATTTTATCTAAAGATGACCTTTATAATTAATTCTGCAATAATTGCTTTTGGTGCGGTCACAGAAAATAAATCTGCGAATCCGAAACACTCTAGATATAATTTGGAAGTTTCTTTAAATTGATGCGAATAAAAGTACCTTACCGATTCAGCATCGTGCCCGCGACCTTGTCTAGTGAGGTCTGTTCAACCTCAGACACTCTTGCCAGTCTCTCACTACGCCGCCATTACGTTTCACGTCTCTATCGGAGTTGGTTTTGTGATTATGCTGCTTTGTTTGTCACCATGTCAATCAGTAAAATGAAGATGAAGATACGCCCAGTAATACGATTTTTAAACGCTAAGAAAGTTCGTCCTACTGTGATTCATTGGCAGTTTGTTGTAATTGTTACTGAAGCTTAGGCGCGCTATCCAAAACCGTCGGTAGACCCTGCTCTCTAGACGACGTTTTGCTTCACGACAGCGCTCGGTCTCACGCTGCGACAAGAATACAGACGCAACTGGACAAGCCTTGTTGGTAATGACTGGCTGAAAGCCTTGGCTTAACACCATTAGGCTTTCATCTTTTTCCAAAACTTGACGAATTTCTGCTACTGTCTCACAGATGGCGGTAGTATTTTTCATATCCCCTTTTGGACGCCGGAATACAGTATATGGTTGTCTATTTTTAGGTAGAATATCTTGACCAATTTTTAAACAACATACAGGGTGTCCTAGAAGTCGACGTCAAGCCGGAAACGGGGGATAGGCCAAGATATAATATACTAAGTGACATATAAATCCGAACACCCAGTTTAAATGGTTTTATTTTAATAAAATTTTGTATAAGTACTTAATGAAGCATAATAAGAAAATGATAAAAATTTCAAAATGATTGCACTGCTTTAAAGCCCTTTTACCTTTAATAATGTGTGGATGCACCCTGATGTGCTACGCATTCTCCAACGCGACTAGGCATGCTTCTGATCAGGTGGTCAATGTCCTCCTGTGGTATCTCATTCCAGGCAACCACCAACTCCTCTCGAAGTGCTTCTAGAGTCTGAGGAGGACGTTGCAAATTGAGCAATCTCCTACCCATCATATCCCACACGTGCTCAATTGGGGATAAGTCTGGAGATCTTGGTGGCCATGGTAACAATGTGACATCATTATGTTGAAAGAAGTCTATTGTGACTCTTGCAACATGTGGTCGGGCATTATCTTGTTGGAAAGTTGAATCTGCCAGGGTGTCAAGATAGGGTAAAAGATGGGGTTCTAGAACTTCGTGGATATAACGCTGCGCGTTCATGTTACCTCTGATGAAGATTAAAGGTGACCTGGAACCATAAGCTATAGCACCCCAAACCATAACTCCGACAGTGTGATGAACATGTCTTTCAACAAAAAACTGTGGATTCCTCCTTTTACCACGTCGCCTTTTGTCTGCACCACTCAAGGCGATTACGTCGGTGTTCACGAGTTAAAGGGAGGACCCAGTGTGGCCGGTATGAAAACAAGCCAAAACTTCTCATTCGTCGGTAAACACTTCGCATGCCAATAGGTCTTCCGTGTTCTGCAAACCATTCATTTGCAATGGACCTGGTAGTGGAGAAACGGTCCCCAATAATCTTAGGCGGCGATCTTCACGGTCTGTTGTTCTACGGCGGCGTCCAGTGCCCCTTGCTCTTTGCGTACGACCTTCTCGAAGCCATGCCTGACAACACCTAACCACAGTGTCTACACTTCTTTGCACTCTTAACTGCAATTGCCCGAAAAGAAAGTCCAGCTTCCCGAAGTCCCACTATACGGCCCCTATCAAACTCACTAAGTTGACGAAATCGTACAGGTCTCCGTACTCTAGGCATCGTAACCGATCGTAAAGGATGTCAAGAACCAAAATCCGCCAACGTTGATTCTTTACTGCGGCTGAAATATTCATTTTTAGAGCGTTAGTGAATTAAAAAAAAGCAGTATAAAAACCGGAATGTCCAACTGATAAGGCTGAACATTTTTTCACTGGTTATTTACAGTAAGATAAATACATTCACCAACTTTTATTAAAATAAAACCATTTAAACTGGGTGTTCGGATTTATATGTAACTTAGTATAGTTATCAGAAAAATGTAAGTCGTGTTACTTTTTAAATTATAGGTTCAAACAAAATCGAAATCATCTACACCCTGTGTCCTTTTTCAAGTATAATGACAATTAAAATTGGTTATCAAAAGTAGTACTCACACTAATTAATACTTTATTTGTTTATTCATTTACTGAACTTACACCTATACTTGAATTTTTGCGACTGAAGCTGTTTACCTCTTATCTTGCCCGATATTTGGTATTTTTAAAGTTGAACACTTAAATTGCACTGCTTTAATCTGAAATAATTATTTTCAGAGGTTAAACATAATTAAAACTGAATCATTACGAGTGCTGAAGACAAAATTAGCAATGCCATTTTTTTCATATTTTGTTTATTTTTAGATAATAATATTTACCCGATGCGATTTTCAGCTTCAACAACATTTACATTCTTTACAGATTAGTTCTGTTTTCTTTGGATGAACTTATACAAACTATCGACTGTAAATAATATGGAAAAATACCGAGCAGAATCATTGAAGCAGACGCAAATATATAATGTATTTACATAATAGTTCTCGACTAAATTAAAACTGTTGAAAAATGTTGCGATTGCAAAAAATGGCGTCGAGTAGGTTGACTCTGCACTTTCCACCCTCTTTCAAGGATCATGTTCGGCACACGTTAGGCCCTCGTAGGAAAACGTAACTACCAACATGTATAACAAAAAAAAAACCAATTCGATGATGTGAGACAACAAACAGCCCCAAAAATAGGTCATGACCCATTTGATAACGGATTTAGTAACGCTGCGATCTAGAACTTTCCATGGACAGTACTGACCATCTGGCAACGCTGCCATGGGCGCCCGGTGGGATCTTAAAATTTGCATATTTATTATAATTTTGTGTACAGTTTTGGGGAATTTTAGGAATTGGTGCCCCTGAAAAATTTGCTACCCCAGTTTTTCAAAGCGTTTTTGGAACAGATACATAAAACGTTTTGGGGGCATGTACACTTCCACGAAAAATTATCTCTTGATGCTTCATGCTTTAAAAGGGGTTGGGTATTTTTTGATGGACCTCAAAGAACTTGAGTAGATTGATAAGGTTTGTTAACTTTGTCTCCAAAGTTCATTATTTGATTCATAAGAACGATGTTGCAAGAATTCAATAAATCATGCAATATCTTCATGTCAGTGTTGAAAAACTCTAGTCACATTATTATTTACTATTGCTATTTAAAGCCTTATCTTGCTTGTTATTATTTTTGCTCCGATGAACGAACATTGGCGGTAAACTCTTTTATATATGATTTTAGTCACGGAAGCGAATGGGAAGCGTAACAGAAGGAATAGTGACGTATTTTGTATATTTTCCAATATTTTCTCGTTAAAAAGTATATTTTCCGTGTTTTTTTAGGTTTTTTAGACTATTATTTATTCTATGACGAGTCAAACTAGCATACGTGAAATTTAACGGCAAAGCTGTGACATCATAATTTCTAGCTTGACGTAATAAGGTTTTCTACGCCTTGTTCAAATGGTGTGCGACCTTTACGTTGGACCACCCTGTATGTTCTCTATACCGTGCATAATTTCAGTCTTTCCGAATCACTGATACTCATTCTATTCTAGGGCTTTATTTCAATGTGCGAGCCGTCGAACAATAACTCGATTTATCAAAAATTTGAGAGGATAGTGCAGAGTCAACATACTTGACGACATTTTTCGAACTTACGGTCAATTTATAGTGTAGTTAAAAATGTCCAGAGGGCTTAAAAATGTTTGTGTAAATATTAACTAGACTTATATTGCGGTACAGGTCAATGTATTTGAAGTCATTTTTCAAATAGAGGAATAATTCTAGTGTTTTCTTTATATTGGTACGACCTATCGTCCTGTGGGTCAGTAATACAGACAAACAACATTATCTAGTACAGATTAACACATACCTGATATGTTCATATTCAAGTAAATATATCTTTCAAAAAAGTATCATATGTATCACTATCTAACAACGGTATTTATATTTACATTTACGCACATGTTGTATTTATAGTATTTCGGGTATTTTTAGATTTTCAAGGCATGGAACAGAAAAATCGAACTTACATTTTTGGGAAAAAATGTTATGAGTTTATTCTGAAGTGATCATGTAACACAAAAATCATGTCAAGTATTTTTTACTCATGACCATGAGGCGGGTACTAAATCTCAACCTTGCGATGAACGTCTTAAGTCAGAGTTGAGAGAGTTAACTCGGATTCATGCTATGAACGCACCCTTGTTAAAAAGGTTTACTACGAACATGTGTAACAGTGAAATTAAATGGATCAAGTCAGTCAAACGGACCATACAATTAGCCCATAGACATCGGGGTAGATAATCGTTCTTCGCCCTACCGGTTGTGTCCTTCATCTGGCAACGTCGCTCCTCTCCCATACACAGAAATTTGCTTTATAGTTCATTTCATGGAACTAGTTCGCGCTCATCAAAACGAACTGGTTCGCGAACGAACTAATTTACACAAGCATAATGTCAGTAAAAGCGTCCCCTTTCAGTCTCAAATAATGTACATTTTTGTTTTTTGATTCCACCTGTTCAGAAGGTTTTATAAATATACTATCATCAGAAAATTCTTAACGCCAACAAAATTTTTCCTGAGAATGATCAGGATCTTCTGGAAAGTCAAAAAAACCACGTTTGAGCGATTTGATCATTTTTTGTCGCTCAGCTCCGCCGCCACTGAATCGATTTTCAAAAACTACAAAGCTTTTTCGGAATAGGCCTTGGGTGGAAATTTCATCCAAATCCGATCGGCACTTTCCAAGTTACGGGCCAAGCATTAGCGGACAGACAGACAGAACGATGGAAATGATATTTTTCGCTCCCTGCCTTCCGCTGTCCAATTTTCTAAACTTAGTGGAGCACAAGCAAGGTGCCTCCGCTCTTCAATATTCAATCTTTGGCAAGTTTTTGCTTTATGTCTAGCGAAATATACAGAAAAAATTCATATCTACCGAAAAGACGTCGACTATGCCTGGCAACACCGGCTGTAGCCCGTGAAATAGATTTTTCAAAGTTATTTTCCGGGAGAAAAGGTAGCCTATTTGCTATATTCTAGACCAGAGTTCCCCAAACTTTTTTGTGTCGTAGACCCCTTGCCATGTTTTTCCGTGTTGGGCAGACCACCTACTTACCTGATATTGATTTCCTGTAAATTTCTAACTGTAGTAAAGTTTAGTGTTAAAAACTTAAAGTAAAAACACATGTTAATTTATACATTTATTAATTGAATTTAAATTAAAACTACTCAAAATAATATTTTGTATCTGTTATGTAAAATATACGTAACATTAAATAAACAGGTGTCTGACCCATAGGTGCCCGCATTGGGAATAAGTGCCCGCATTGAAAAAAAATAAGAGGGATAAAATAAAAAAAAAGTGAAAAACAAAAAAAAAGTTTTTTACTTAAAATAGTACAGTAAGCGAGTTCGTTTATTAATAATAACATAAACGTATGTTCTACAATAATTTCACTGTTAGTTTGATTAAATTCCGCTTCTTATACGTTTAAGTTATCTAAAAATAGGCAAAAAATCAACGAATTTTAGTGTGTACCTATCCTTGAATATTCAGAATAATTTAAAAAAAAATACTTTGTATAAACGGGAGTTCTTTAAAAAAATCAATGTGGGCCTTTATTAGTCAGACACCAATAAACATAAAATAAACTATAAATAAAATAACATAAGCAATAAGTCAATATTTTTAGTGAGAAGGATGAACCTGATGCTTTAATAATAAATTATCAAAATTTGGCGTCAATTTTGTAAGGGTTAATCTTAAATCTCCTCGGCTAATGATGTCCAGTCTGTTTCTTTTTTTCGTTAGGAGATTGGTAACAGCGCTGAACCCCCTTTCCACTAGGTATGACCATGGAAAGGAAATTAAAAATTTCCTCGCTATATTCCATAATACGGGATAAGTAACGGGTATGTTGTTTTGCAGCCAGAATTGCTGATATCTGTTTTTAAACTGAACCTTAAGTTCTTCGTTTGTACTTAGTTCAGTCAGTTCCTCTTGTATTATGACATTCGTTTCTTCTATGTCACCATATGGATTAATTATCCACGGTGGTATTACCATAGTCAAAATATCCTAGATTCAAAATCTGAATAGAGGGCATTTAAATGTTGAACTTAAGTTGAAACGTCGTCTTCCTGGCAGCTTGTCTGTGACAAATTGGGGAACAGAGAAAATTCGCCCCGTCCAATATTTTGCTTCATTAGTTTAACTCTGGCAAGAAACGCTGATAAGATGGACTTAGTTTTAATCAAATTTAAACTGTCGCCTTGTAATTGCAAATTAACCATATTAAATTTTGTAAACAAATATTAATATGTCTATTTTCCTCTTCATTAAATTTTCTTTTAAAATTTTATCTTTAGTATCCAGAAATTCTAAAATAGTCTCAAAAAGTGCAAAAAATCTTGTCAAACATAAGCCTTTCGACAGCCAGCGTACTTCAGTGTGAAGGAGTAATTGATGAAAGTGTTCGTCATTTTCTTCACACAACTGCGCAAATAACCGCGTATTCAACGCGTTGCTTCGGATTCGGTTTGCTGCATCAATGACTAAATGAAGTGATTCATGCAATCTAACACTCAAATTTTTAGCAACTAAATGTTGTCGATGGATGACGCAATGTATTGCTAACACCCCTGACACATTTTGTTTTAAATAACTTATAAGTTCACGATAACGTCCAACCATGGCAGGTGCTCCATCTGTAGCTACTGGTATTATATTTGATAAAGGAATTGCTTTTTCAATGAAGTAATCCTTCAAAACATGAAATATTGATTTACCTTTAGTGTCGGTTATCAAAGTTCTTGCGAAGAGCAGTTCTTCGTAGATTTCTTGATTCATAATAAAACGAACATATGCCAATAATAATGCTGCATTATCAGGTAAAGTTGACTCGTCCAGTTGTATAGAGAAATGGGTCATTTGCAAATAATTACATAAGAAGCTTTCAATATCAGAACTCATTTCATCAATACGTCTTTCAACAGTATTGTTGCTTAAGGGAATTCTTTTAATGATATCAGATGCAGGTTTGTGTAAAACAGTTTTTAAAACCTCTTCAACGGCTGGCAAAATTAACTTCTCTCCGATAGTATGCGGTTTTCCGGATTTTGCTATAAGTAACGAGATATTGTAAGACGACCGCAAACCATCATCATTTCTTTGTGACGTCGAAGCGAACATTCTGTCCAGTGTAGGTCTCTTCTGAAATTTATCTTTGAGTGTTTGAAAGTATTTCAAATCTTTCTATGTTTTATCAGGGTGGCATCTTCTCAGATGATCTTGCAGTTTAGATGGTTTCATAGCGTCATTGCCCAAAACTTTGTTGCATAAAAGGCACATAGGCTATTGTTTGTCCGGCAATGATGGACTGAAGCCAAATTTCAAATAATCAACACTGTACTGTCTACATTTCTTTTTAGATTCGGACATGGCATCTGTGGGCAAAATTAAATTATTTAAATAAGACAGAAAATCCCGCAGCTGTATATTAAAAATATTTTTTGATTTTTCCGAAAACATTCCATAATTCGAACATCTTCTTGCAACAATTAGCTCGAATTACGGAGATTGCATTGTAATTATATTACCGATTGCTAAAACTTTCAAAAAGAAACTATTGAGGAGTACTTGTGTAATTTTGCATGATTGAATATTTAACTACTAATAACTAAAGTCATGATTGGCGTAATTTATCTGTCTTTGCTAACTACGAGTACAAAACTAAAATTTAATAAAAAATAATGTACTTACTTTTCTCCAGCACTCTCAAACAAAATAACACTGACTCACTATAATTTGTGTGAAATACTATCTGTTTATATTTTTTAAAATATTTTCTTAGCACTTTCCTTTTCAAGATTCAGGAAACGAATAAACGTATTTGTCCCACATTCGTATTTATAGAGTGACGAATTGAACAAGTCAGTGCAAGGTAGCTAAGCTCTGAGACTGCGACTCTCAGGTTTTTACAAGTTCAAAATGTATTGCGACCACAAAGCGAATACCAACATCCTACAACTTACACAATTGTATAAACATATATAATAAATTTTTTACTTCATAGGTAGGTACTTTTATAAATAATGTATATGTGTTGATATTATAAGATAGTATGATGTAAGTAAATAGGTACTATCAGTGTATGTGTTGAGATCCAGTATCGTGGACCCCCATATTCATTTCATGGACCCCCAAATTTTTTGTCGCTGACATAGACCCCTTGCAGGTTGTCATAGACCCCTAGGGGTCGATATAGCCCACTTTGGGAATCAATGTTCTAGACTATAATCTACCTCTGTACCAAATTTTATTTGATATGGAGATATATTTGTTCGATAGTTTTGAGGTGGATGGTTTTCGATATACAGCTGGTATGCTTCATTATTGGCTCATCACTGGTATACACCATGTTTACCATGACAAAGATAATGCATTGAACAAACAAAAGCTATCTAGAAGACGTAAAAGGGCATTTATTGCATGTTTAAAAATAATGTATCAATCATAAATATTCGCTATTTATCGGCAATCGTAGGCGCCTGACTTTTTATCCATTAAACTTTGGCATCCTTTTAATGAGAGGTCAAATGTAAAAAAAATAAAAAGTATGTTGAAAAGGATTATATTCATTCCGTTTAATTTTACACAATCGAGCAACATACAGGACGGTTCAAAAAATAATAGGAATGTGTTAAAAAAATTCAGAGTTTTTCCAACTACCTTTTTCGAACAACTGAAAGCGCTTCGACTTGCGGACTAAAACCAAAAACTGTTCATAGGACTCCGTATCATACCATATAAATGAAACAATTTCAGGAGAAAGCAGAGAAAGACGAACCTGTGATTTTAATATTTAACAATGTAGGTTACTTGCCTAATAATGAAAATTGACTAAAAGACTTGTTTCATTTTTAAAACACGTAATTGTGGGCAAACAAGTAACATGTGACGCAGATGCCAAAGAGTGGTAGATATCTAATCTACTATTTACACTTTGCAATAATGGAGTTTGAGATAAATCTGAGCCAACGACACCAGGGGTCCGATTTAGGACTCTTTCCTCTATAATGTTTCCTGATTTCGAAACTAAAACATTAACGACTTGTATCTCGGATATTTCGGGGAGGGTTCGCACTGGCCCTGTATACTGATTTTGAATTGAAAAGTAACTTAAAAACTCAAACTGAGACCTTTCAACTGCTGATAATGTAGTTTGCTAGTGACACGCTTCAAATGGAAGCTAGAAAGTTCAAAATCCGTTTTATCTGCTAGGTTAACGGCCGAAAATTAGAAAAAAAGAATTATCAGTGATGCCATTCAAGTTAATGGTTAACAATAAAATGTCGCGCTAAATCAGCTTCTTATATAAAAATATCAATAATATATGTTTATAAACAGCGATGATACACAAATACAGTCTGCGTCAAAAGTGTTCTGCTCTGAGAATTGACCGTTTATGGGTCCCTTTGATTTTAGTGTCACCAATGATTCGACACATATCCTACCAATTACCATAGATGCGCGCAGGAATTCTTCCCAGGAGTGTCAGTACAAACCTTCCAATTTGGTCTCGAAAACAGGATAACATACCTCCTATGACCCCCTAACACCTTTTGAAGAAGCAGGCAAATTTTTTCTGGTGCGGGCAAAACGTAAAGATCCTACCAGAAGTTTTTTCAATTACAATAAATGTGCTTTCTCATATTAATTACATGTTATATCAAATTATACAAACTTCCCGATGTTCTCTTGAGGCAAATTAACTCCAAAATAATGATGTTCTTATAGCTTTTTCAAATTACAAGACCGACCAGATGTTTAACCAAAAACCAGAGTATACCTTCCCGAAGGCCTTTGATGCGCTGAATCCAAATCTGTTGTCCAAATCTCTCAACTTTTATATAGTTTCCGAGATGTCCTAACCTAAAACTTCAAAAATAGCGCTTTTTGCGTTTATTTAACACGTTGATTTTTTGCGTCAGGGGTCTATTAGACATCTAAAATAATATCACAAATTCACAGTATACAAAAAACTGTAGTATATTACTTCTTACCATATCGCAAAAATATATAAATAACAGCATATCAACCTATTTTCATTTCAATGCAAAATAAGTCTATAACGCATAGGTGGCTGTGAAAAATAAAAGCCATGATAATTTTTTTTATTAATCACAGCTGTCAGAATACGTTTAAAATAGTTTTGGGTAGTTAAGGTTTTCAAAATGGGTAGAGGAAAGGTTATTAGTGAGAAAATTGGGTTACTGATAATTAAATTTTTTAATTCTGGGAAATCAAACTCAGAAATTGCAACTTTGTTAGACTTATCGCGGTACAGTGTGAGAAATATTGTTAGAAGATATAACGTAACTGGTTCAGTTAATATTAAGCCACGATTTGTGAAAAAAGTAATATCACAAATGCCGACCAAAGAGCATTAAGAAGAATAATCGTGAAAAACAGGCGTGCCAATTATTCACAATTAAGTGACGCTGTTGGAAGGAGAATTTCGAGGTCCACAACTCATAGAGAGGCCCACAAACTGGGATTTAGCACTTGCAAGGTAAGTTTTCAAATAAAAAAATTGAAGTAAAAACCCTAAAGTTGCACAACTTGTTTATAGGCCAAAGAAAAGCCACTATTAACTCCACTGCAAAAGAAAAATCGGCTTAGATGGGCTAAAGAACATAGACAATGGACACCTCAACAATGGTGTACAATACAATGGAGTGATCAGGCCCGAGTCGAAGTTTGTGTTGGTGACAGTCGCAGTAGAGTTATTCGCAAAAAAATGAAGCATTCCATGTTGACTGTCTGAAGAGAAAAGTGAAATTTACAGCATCCATTATGGCCTGGGGCAGTATGTCATCAAAAGGAGTAGGAAAACTTCATTTTATGGGTGGAAATGTGGATACAAACTAATATTTGGCAATTTTAGAAGAATCGCTTTTACTAGTCACGGTAGAATGTTTGACTTCCGGCCAAGATTTTGTGTTTCAGCAAGATGGTGCAGCGTGCCATACCTTAAAAAAGGCTATAAAATGGATGGAAGAAAATACTGTACCACTTTTGAAATGGGTTTCTAGCAGTCCAGACCTGTCACCTATTGAAACTTTGTCGCACGAGATGAAAAAGGTTCCTACGACAACATCCTGCTCGTACAATCACCGAACTGAGACAAAAGCTTCAAGAAATAGGGGATTGTTTTACACAAAATTTTTGCCAAAACTTGGTTAACACTATGCCCCAAAGAATTTCAGCCGTAATAAAAAATAAAGGTGATGTTACCCAATGGTAATCTTTCAATTGTTGCTTTGTTAACTTCGCGCATTTATTCGCACATTGTTTATTTGTTCAGATGTTCTATTAGTTATAGGTCTAAGTGATTTCAAATATGTATTTTTTACGACTAGAGTGTATCTAAAATGTTTTTGAGAAAATAAATTGTTTTAGAAGTAAATAGTTTCGTCATGTTTAGTTTATAAAGGCATATTTTGGTACAAATCTTGAAGTGGGCCAACTGAAGTGGGAAGGGGCTCGTATAACATATGGCAAGTTTAAGCTACTACTGAGGACAAGAAGTATATCTGGACCTATGTATATGTAATTTTTTTTCCATTTACAGTTTGCTAAATCAGTCCTTCTTATTAGAAAACCCTTTAGAAGTAGACATGAAATTTAGTATCATCAACTTTCCACAAAATGTAGAAAGTGTATTATCTCCAATACGAATTTTGTTAGTATAACTATTCAATTTACATACATCACACCATTTAACGTAAATAAAATCGGGAACATCATAAACATTACGCGTTTTGATGGACTTTCTATATTAAAACGTTGTTGCTAAGGCCCCACAAATGAATTGTTTACCGGCTCTATGAGTTATGGGAGTATTAAGATTAACGGTTTATAGCTCAGATAAAACCAAGAATGGATTGTAAACACAACCGGACGTGCCAATGCGTCTATAAAGGATATTGAATATTATTTGTTGTGTTAATATTTTATTGGAAGGTGTTTTGAGATAGCTATCAAAAATAAATATCTTTTCAGGCAAACGCTACAGAGAAAGAAGGCATTCGGAACAACTTTTTCATGTCTGAAGTTTGATAAAAGTAGCGCGTATAATTT